GTACTTATATATATGTATATAAAAAACTTACTTTAGGCTTCAGTCTTCGACCCTAGAGGATATAAATGGTTTTGAGAATGGATAGATGGATATTATTTAAATATTAAATAAATCTGTATATATTTAGAAATTATATATATATATACTGTATATATATATATATATATACACACATCTAAATTATATTTAAATTAAAAGCATTTTAATTAAAAATTCATATTTTTATATTTCTATTATTAATAACTTAATTTTGGGGAAGTAGAGGCAGTACTTAGGTCTAGTAGTTTGAATTTGTATTTTCAGTGGTCAAAGATGTATCTTCAAGATAGATTTATCAATGTTAAGAGGAAAGTGTAATGGAATTTAATAATTTGTTTGTCTAAACATTATTTTCCGGTGTGAAAGATGGGTGACGATATTGCGGCCGAGCCTCATCGAAACATCCTCTCTTCCGTAATGGGGGTAATTTTATAATTGTGAACAAAATGTCTCATGCATTCAGAAGCAAGCGACCATCTGAGATGGGTGTTCACTGTCTATTTAATCTATAAAAGGAGCTTTGAAATTGAGCGTCTTTGAAAACTATTCAAGACATAAATAAGATCAAGGCGTTGAGGCATACGCTAATTTTTAAGGTTGTTTAGAAGTACATGGAAATTTTGGAGATGAATTTCAAGCTAAGAAACCTGAGTTGGTACGGCTCATTTGATTGAGTTCACTAAAATGACCCAATAATGGTTTAATCAGTTTTACAGATTTTCCATGTTCTTAACTCAAGAATCTGTGCTATGCTACTTAATGACACCTAAAATATTCACAGTGTTTATGTCCATAGACCCAAACTTAACTGTTTTGAATGGAAACTAACTTTGTTCAAACAGGCAAAATAGCCTACAACGGAAACGAAAACCTTCTTTTTCCTATACGTAAAAGGCTATTTGACCCCTGCCCTTTTCGAGACTGCTCACTTTGTTTTTTTTATTTTTATTTTTTCTTGTCCAACTTTTCATGATTTTGTGCCCATATTTAGATGGTCTCAAAGGACCACTGAAATTTCATGGGCATTTGGGCAGTGAAACTGTCTGGATTCTTGCCACCAAACTTGAGCAGTGAAACCTTTGAGTTACTTGTGATTCAGTGTACCACACAGTGCAAAAATAATGAATTCTGGTAAACATTAATTTCAAACAAGCAGAATTAATAGAAGTATCACCTGTTTTGTGCTATGACATAAATTGAGCAAAATGATTCAAATAATGGGACTCTCAATGTGTAAGAATATTTAACTGTCAAAAACACAATATATATACAATCTTTTAAAATTCTTTACCTGTTAATTTAGTATTAAAACGGTGCTCTGTACTTAAAAATTACAATTGCACATTTGGTTCAAACAAATTAACAGCATTTGAAACTTTGCAGATCTTCTGCACCTGTTCTGCAGTTCAATAAATATTTTATCTTTGTCTCTGAAGCCACAGATGAATTTTGTGCTACTCTGCGGTGCTAGTGATGCTATTTTATATTTGCAGAGGCACATATTAACCTTCCGATTGCATATTATGTACATTTTATTTACATTTGCGAAATAAAATGAACGTAAAAAGTATCAACTGACCAAATGCATAATATATTTGCACAATTTGGATCCATGCTGGCAGTCATAAACTCTACTCAAAAACAATAATTTATGATAATAATTCAACCTGGGAAAATGATACCAGCATTAGCAGTGCTTTATTGTTAACATTTATTTAAATAAATGTAGACTACGCAACTTCAAGATAAGATTTGAAAATTGCACACTTGACTTCCCGTGTTAAGAACATTCTTTACAACACGCAACATCTGCTCAGACAGCCCTCAAAAGTGTTGCTTTACATTCATACATAATAAATCAGGCTGATATCTACAATCTTAATTTAATGTAATGGTTATATGTCTGTATGGTATTTGACCTCTGAACATTCATTTGCTAATATGTCTCCTCATTTGCACGTTACATGTCTGACATTTTGATCGACCTTGAAAGTTGTGAATTTGCCTCAGGATAAGATAAGAACAGACGGTTCTTGGCAGCCAGAGACAAAAAAAAAAAAGCCAGAATAATCTTATTAAACACTCACCGTGGCCTGTAGCTGAAATCCAGGAAAAGAGCGATAGAAAGAAAAATAGAGAGAGTGAGAAAAAAAGAATGGAGACACGGCATGGATGTTCTGGTGAAGGAGTTATATGTATTTAGTCTGCCGAAGTGATGAAGCTCTCTGATCTGGCTTGTACGCTAGATGGCTTCTGCTTGCCAAGTTTTTGTGTGTGTGTGAGCTTGAGAGAAAACGTGTGAACTTATGTGCGAGTATGGGTCTCTGTGTGTGTTTCATATATGCACACAGGTGAACTGTGTGGGCTGCTCGAATCACTCAAATTTGCATTCCCTCCGGGCTTCTCAGAAACTGTAACTTACTTTCTCACCCAAGTCTTGGGATGTAACTGCTGAATGCTTTGAAAAGCTGTGCTGCAGACTAATGCCTAAAACAGTTAGAAGAAATGTTTGCATTCAATTGGTTTAGGGACCCATTAAGACATTTGAGACATATATTTGGAGCAGTGCACAGTGAAAACTCTCTTGAAGAAAATATCAATAAATGGTTTTATCATCGCACACAAAAAGAATAAAATAAATCTTGAAATTGGAAAACATCAAAGCATAATGTATTTATGTTTGGGTCCCCGAAGACCCCTAATGTCTTAAGTGTATAATAATTAATAATAACAATAATAATAACAACCAAATTATTTTCTCTAATTACATTTTTTAAATACTTCTTTTGGGACCTAATAAAAACATTTGACTGATCGAAATGATTGAGGTTTTAATTGTTTTTTCTCTCTCCATAAAGTAGACATACACTTTTTAAAAGAAATTTAACTGTTTTCCAATATTCACTGTAAAACATGATTTTTCTAAGTTGTAAATAAAGCAAATATTATTGGAGTACCTTGGAGTATGTCGTAGGCTATGTGAATATACTTTGCATTTATTGATGTTTTTACCTACAGTCTTGGTGACCTAAAACAGAAGGAACCCTTTTGAAAATGTTCAACAAGTTAAAATTGTGTTCATAATAAGTTCTCAAAAGATTAAGAAAAGTCATGAAGAAGTATCAACTTGATACTTCAATTTTATGTTATTTTAGATTAAAAGAGCCTCTTCTCTTAGACCCAAACCCGACAAGAACGTTTTATGTCACGCCTGTTCTTCATTTCTATGTGAGATGTTTCTCTGAGGGTTCATAACTGTTGACGACAGTGCATCTGGTATCCGGCTCTGTTCGAGGTGATCCAACAGGTGATCGAGGCGGCCTCCTCCTCGCACGAGCTCATCAAAGCGAATATAACGGTGCGACGGCGCACAGAGCGCGATTGTTCTTCGGGGTGGCTCCTCCCTGCGTTCAGAGTCTGTCTTCCTGCAAATGAGCGCTGTGCAGAAAGCGCTACAGCATGGGGAAGTCCGATTCATTTAAAAGAATCGATTCGCTCGGACGATTCGTTTCAAATGAAGCTTTCAAAAAAGATTCGAACTCTTCCAAGAATAAGTCGCCGCGTGGCGTTTTACGTTTGTTCTGTAATGCTCTTGTTTGCCACCAAGTGTTCGAAAATTGTAGAGATAATCTAGAAGATTTGCGTCAAATGCTGTGTTTTTGGGGAGAGCAGGAAGTGTTCGTTGTAACACCATTAGTTTAACAACTAGAAATGAGCCACACGGAGAAATGTCTAGGCTATTATAGATTTCTCCTGACATTCCTCTTGAGCTATGAGAGTCAAAATTATACGTCCTTTGTTACAAATATAAATAATGTATATGGCATTCTCAGGTAAGAAAGCACCATATTCATTATTGGATGATATTAAGCGACCATGCTAATGAATATTAAATAAAGAATGAATATGAATTAGTATGCTAATACATATGAATAGAACTGGTATTATGATCTGAATCAGCGGGTTTTCCTCTTTAATTGGATTTATACACTGTCTGACACCGAAGTAGACACGCCTCTTTTTCCACAACCTCGCGCTTCAGCGTTACCAGAGCCGTTAAAAAACAATGTTTTGGCGTTACCGGTCAAGCTCCTCATCTTTCATCCGCATTAAAGTTCTTAACTCTCTTCAACGATGAAAAGCTTTACCGACATTCAATCTCGTCGTTGTTTTCCTGTGCTTTCCTTTTCCTTTTAGGACGTGTAGGCTAAGTAGCCTAGCTAGTAAGCATTTTGCACCCTCCAAACTCACGTAAACCGCATTGAATTCAGAGTAGCCTACTGACATTTTACTGTTACATACGACTGTCACAGATAGGCGTGATATCTCAGGATAGGTAGACTATGTCCGTTATATTTTTCACTTATTTCTGCTCATCTTTCCATAAAAATGGCTTGCTGCACTTTTAATGTATTAATTATTTCCAATTTGTTTCTGTTAAAGTTTGTCCTAATTTTGTCGCTTTTATTTAAACTGGTCAAAATGAAGTAGGTTGGGAATAATGAAGGATAATAATTATGATTTTAAATGATGCTTATTATTACTTAAGGTAATCAATCACCAGTGTGAGACGCGTCTACCTTACCGTGTGTGAATCGGCTCAATCGAATCCCTAAAAAGAACCTGTTCAAAAGAATGATTCGGTCACGAATCGGACATCACCAAAGCGCAGTCCGAACTCGGTTCCTCTCTTCAGCCGTGAGACAGAAGGAAGCAGAGCACAGTCCACCGGCTCATCTCAGTATGTGGCAGAGAACTACGTGGTGTTGAAGGAGGACGAGAAAAAACAGACGGTGGTCGGCAAATCTCAGGGTCGCCAAATTGCCCGTTCCTGGACGAATTAAACGGTAAGGTCGTTGTCAAGTCATTGTTTCTTTATACCTATGTTATAGCAGAATGCAAATGAATGCATTGCAACCGTGCATTATTATCACTCTAATTTTTAATGCAAACCTTTTAGGGATACATATGCATGTCTGTTCTGCTGTCAGTTTGTTACATGCAGTTATATGAAACTAAAATGATGCAGGCAGGCAGCACCAGCTGGTGATCACTCTAGCAGAAAGCAGAAATCTCTCTTTTGTCTGTGGGGTTCAGAGTCCAAGGGTTTGCCAAGAGTCTCTGAGGAACGCGTCCAGTTCCCTAGTTTACTTAATAAATTATCTGCGCTTGTAATATTTCCATTAATGCCTGATTACAGCTGCTATCAAATGGAATGACTGGTAGACAAAAAAAGAAGAAGAATTATAGATCAACAGTCTCCCCCATGAAATATGTAGTTATTATACAAGCATAATACTGCACCATTTGGCTTTTCGAGACATAACTGTTTGAAAGTTGGATAAACTATGTAGTTTGAATGCGTAAGTTGGCAACGAGGACGCCCAGGAGACCTGCTTCCTGTCAGGTAGAGCAGTGGTTCCCAACTCTGTTCCTGGAGGCCCCCCAACAATACACATTTTAGACGTCTCCCTAATCAAACGCACCTGATTCAACTCATCAGTTTGTTAGTGGAGGCTCCAAGAATTGAAATGGGTGTGTCAGATGAGACATCCAAAATGGGTGCTGTTGGGGGACCTCCAGGAACAGGTTTGGGAACCGCTGAGGTAAAGCGAGCGCATCTCCTGGAGCAACTCCATGCCTGTCCGTGTGCATCTACCTGTGATGGAGAGAGCTTGGCGAGCTTGGGGTAGCTGCTGGAAACTACGAGTCTTATGTTTAGACTTTGATATCAGACATAGACTTATGTTTGTTATTTACGATGGTTACTCGCAGAGCGTCTTGATTTGCAGAGAACTTTTTTTATCTAAAGTAACAAGAACTGGTCCATGGTTCCCACACTTATGGAAAATCAGTAAATATCAGGTAAAAAAGAAAAAGAAGAAGAAAAAAAAAGTTTCCGGGTCTTGAAGTTGGAATGGAAATTAATCCATGAAAATCATGGAAATTCATGGGTCTAATAGTGTGGGAAATCTGCTGTTCTTCCTGGAGCTGCCAAATGCTTTGGTTAAGTCTTTGGGTTATCACTGGTTGATCCATTAAACCAGGGGTTTTCAAACTGAACAAAAAAAAAACAGTGTAAAAATTAAATAAATAAATAACTAAAACGATTTAAATAAACAAATAATACATTAACAGATAATACAAACAGTACAGTACTATAGTGAGTAAAAACAACAATGTAATGTAGAAATGATGAAAATTATACATGTATTTGTAATATACTATACACAATATACTATTCGTCTATACATTAAAATATAGCTGCCTTTTGAATTTTAGCATGAGGGTCTCTCACACAAGGATGATCATATTTGGGGGTCTGTGACATCTAAAAGATTGAAAACCCCTGCACTACACTCTTAAAAATAAAGGAGCTTCAAAAGGTTCTTCAAGCGAGGCCATAGAAGAACCATTTTTGGTTCCACAAAGAACCATTCAGTCAAAGGTTCTTTAAAGAACCATCTCTTTCTTGCGTTTTTGTAATCTGAAGAACCTTCTTTCACCACAAAGAACCTTTTGTGAAACAGAAAGGTTCTTCAGATGTTAAAGGTTCTTTATGGAACCATTTAGACAAAAAGGTTCTTCTATGGCATCGTGAAGCACCTTTATTTTTAAGAGTGTAGACTACCACCCTCTACTGGTGAACACCATGAACATCATAAGAAAACTGAAGAGGCTCATTGTTTAGGCTGTTAAATAAACAATATATTGTTTTTTTTTTCAAGGGAAAGCAAACTGGGTTTATAGGGTTGGTGTAGTAAAATCTGTCTGGTTCAGGGGTGTGTGGTTTGTGAGCTGACTTAAATGTTCATGCTCCACAGCCGGTCATGAATAGCTCTCACATTGTGGTCTCAGTTGATGGATTCAAAGTTCATTACCGGTTGTTACATAAGTCACTTCTGCTGACAGTGCATTGGTGATCATTATCTTAATTCTCTTGTTTGTGCTTTGTTTGTTTGAAAGAGCGAGCAGAAAATGAATCGAGAAGTGTGATACACCAACTTTTTGTTTTTGGGGTCTTTCCCAGTTTGAATCCTCTGGTTTGTGTAAATCAAGTCTTGTTGTGAGTGGGTAAGACAGTGTTTGTGAAGGCCAGTGGTCTGTGGCTCTTTCGTACTGTTACAGTGCAGTGTCAAGCTTAAGTGAGGAGGCTTTCTGCTCGTATGTCATCCAAATTGAGATGGAGAGAGACTGCCTAGTTTCCAGGATTGAGGATTGAGACCCAAGATTTCTCCATTGCAGAGCGGGCTTCACATTCAGTCTGTCATATGGGTTTAATTATCGTGCCTGATGGCTCCCCGTCTCAAGAGTAGTCTGAAAGCACAAAATGCTTCTTGCCATCTCAGATCACACATATTCTTGTACCTCATGTCTTCGCTAACAGTTTACAAGGCCCTTCCTGAAATTTCATGTTACATTTAGTGTAGCTCGCAGATGCTTCTCGTTCTTGATTTGCCCCAAGAGCAGCCAATTATGAAGTTCAACTCCTTCAAGGCCACAGCTGATTTTTTGGAGAAGATGTTCTTTATGGGGTCATGTCTTCCTGTGTCTTGAGCTCCTTGTCCTGCTTTGTAGGCCGGTGTTTTTTTGATCACAAAACAGACTGCAGATGGACAAGTGAATCATTCACTGGAAAAGTTTAGTTATTTCCTCTTATTTACACAATTTCTGTTATATTGTTTTATATAATGGGGATAAGAATTGAATGATTCTGATTCCTTTTAATGTTTTTGAATCCATTTATGACTCTTTCAATTGGCCATGACTATACATAGATATAACAAATATAACAAATAACCAGCAAACTATTCATTTATTTATTAATCTTGAACCAACTCATTAGAGTCTTTCATTCAGGAAGTTGTGCTGTTTGTTTTTGATTCACTGAAAAGAAACGGCTCAAAGTATTCATTCGTTTTACAATCGGATAACACTAGTTGGACTGTAACTACATATTAAACAAATATAACACTGGTCATGCCTTAACTGTGTATCAAGCAAATAAAAATGTATCCATTTAGTTGATTTATTCATTTGATTTACCAAAAAGAACCAAGTCATCATAAGAGTGATTTGTTTGGGAATTGGTTTACACTGGTTGTGCTGTAGGTTTTTGATTCACTAAAAATAAATGCCTCAAAAGATTTACTCATTCCGGAAACAGACAACACTGGTCATGCTGTCTATTTTGCACTGTAGATTCAGTATCGTTGTTGTGGCATGGTTGAATAAATAGTGCAGAGAAAGTATTTTAGTACAATATATTGTTGAACGCATACAGTCTGTGAGAAATATTTACCCTAAAAATAGAAAAGAAACTAACAATTTTCAGTTCCCAACACTTATTATAACATAATGTTGGCCTTTTGGGTTGATCAAGCCTCAAAGCCACATAGTTCGTGACACTTCGTGACCTTCTTTGGCAAGATTTAGATAAGACAGTGTTTTGATGAAAACCACCGATCTCAGTCTGGTAACTTCACAATATAACAAGACTCTAACAAGAGGTAATGCAAGTAAAGATGCTTTGCCAAGCAGGAAATAACAGTAAAAAGCCTGGAGGGCTGAAAGGGTGTGGAGAGCACAGGGGCATGTAGTCCATCACTATTTGTAGGGGACAAAGACCTCTTAGTGTTTTAAGATTACTTGCTGCACTTAAGCTGTTTCAATGCAGCCCGTAGGAAATTAAGGGAACTTAAAACCAGCATCAGCCTCTGAGGCCACTTTTGGGTCCTGACCTATTTGTTGCTGCTATTTTTTTCATTGGAGACAGAGAGTGTTTGATTTTTAATGGAGGAGAATGTAGAATATTGTCAGGCAGTTTAACATGGCTTATTTTGTGGCAACAGAAATCTTGGATGAGTTTCACACAGTGGTTTCAAATAGCTTTCCAAAACAGTCTTTCCATAGAAATTAGACAAAGCTCCCTCACACACACAGACACACACTTCTTTGGCCATTGTCTTTTTTTGTGGTACTAGTCAGAAATAGTTATCCTTGATGGACAAATGAATGTAAAAACTCTATATTCTTTCTCCCACCCTTTCCCAAATGTTCTCCCTTTTCTTCCTCCTTTAACCCCTCTAAACTTTTTTTACCCTTTCTTTCTAGAGTTTGAGTTCATCCTTTTTTTCTTCAAGAGGCAACTTGTATCCTTATGCTGTCAAATCATTTCCCATCTGTTCTTGATTACCTTTGTCTGCACTTGGTTTCTCTTCACCCATCAGAGCTTGTATGGCATCTCTTTCTACCTCTTCCCAGAAAGCATGGAGTGAGGGATCGATAGATAATGAAAGAAAAAAGGAGTGTGCAAAGGAGGTAGAACAGCTTTTGTTGATGTTGATCATATTGCTGATAAAGAAAATGGAAAAATGTCTCAAACTTGTGCATTGCCATGTTTGAAATGGCATAATAACATACTACTCATATTATTCTTGTAGTATGCAATGTATATACTGAGCAAAATATGCAATTTTTCTTTATGCATGACATTTGAATGAAAGTGTGGAAAGTGAAAGACCAATGAAAGTGCAGTATACAATCAAATTACACTGCAAGGAAGATGTTATCCCACAATGCAATGCACTTAACCTAAAATTTTCAGTTGGATGAATGAATTGCAGATAATTTCAACTGCGATTGCTTGAATTAACCTTCCATTTCCAGTGTGACAGAGGCAATATCAACCACAGTTTTCACAACAATGTATTTTCTTTACTTTATATGTGATTATTACATGAATTTCTACAGTAAATTGCAAAAATAACCAGTTTTCTGAGTTGATTAAAGAAAGTCATTTTGGGTAAAATCATCTGCTAAATACTTAAATGTAACTAATCTAAATACATTTTGTGTGTGTGTGTGTGTGTGTGTATATATGTAACATGACAACTATGTTGTGTGTGCACTCGCATACTACGATCAAAAATAGTAGGCGTTATACAGTATGAACAACAGTATGCATTACATAGCCGAACACAGCCTATGGCTGCCTCTCTCACATTGTGTCCCATTTGAAACAGTGGTGCCACACGAGTCCCTCTTGTGGTATTTCTCAAATTAGGACATTTTGTTTTATAGCCGGCCCCAGACGTCAGATTGAGCTCCTGACCCCACAATGCTTTCCTTTCTTTTGCACTCTTCCGGTGACGGACAGAGTGAAGAGAAACAGCGGCCCGCAGTTTAGAAAGCGCTTTTTCCCTTTCCTCTTGAATGTGAAAGGAGGAATGATTGATTAGCTCTAGCAACAGGATGCAAACAACAGCCTCCCAAGGCAATATGTTTGACCGGTCAGTCAGAGAGGAACCATTTAGCCAAGAAACTCGCTGTTCTTCTTTTCTTTTGTATCTATCTAACATGTTTGTTTTTCAATAGGGAGGCTCTTCATATTTATGATCCCCGGTTGTACACATCTTAGAACTGCCCGTCCTCCACCTCCAACCCCAAGAGGCGAAGTGTCAGGATCCACGTAGAAGTGAAGCCCCCATGGCTCCAGAATTCTGTGCGTCACTTTGGTGAGCGTGGGGCCGTCAGAGGGCAGAAGACATGTTGGGACAGAGGGCTGGGCACCGCATTGAAGCTTGCTGTAGTAACCATGGAAACGGTGTGGAGGAGTTTGGCCTTCGTTGGCATCATCGCCATGGTTGCCCGTGGAGTGGCAGAAAGTTGGAGTCCTGAGGAGTTTGCTCAGTCTCAAGGTGAGATTCCTGATTGTTTAATTGTAATGAAGTTTAAGTAAATGGTGTGAAAAATAAGTGTTCATTTCGTTTTGGCCACCATTTGCTGCCGATAAAGTGCATTAAAGGGGGCTGCTGCCATCCTGCTTCATGTATCGTTCAAAAGTTTTGAAAGAAGTCGCTCATGCGCACCAAAGCTGTATTTATTTGATCAAAGATACAGTAAAAACAGTAATATTGTGAAATATTCATACACTTTAAAATAGCTGTTTTCTTTTCTAATATATTTAAAAATTGAAGTCATTCCCGTGTCAGCAAAGCTGAATTTATCTGAATATTTGTCACATGACCCTTTAGAAAACATTCTGATATTCTGATTTGCTGCTCAGTTTCTTATTATTATCAATGTTGAAAACAGTTGTGCTGCCTAATATTTTGTGGAAACCATGATGCTGTGCCATGATACCGATGACACTGAATGGTGATACTGATGTAGTTTTCAAGATGTTTTGATGAAATGAAAGATGAAAAAAAAAACATTTATTTGAAATAAAATTACTTTGAAATTGATCACTTTTGATCAAGTTAATGCATCCTGGCTAAATAAAAGTATTTAAAAAAAATCTTTCTGAATGGTAATGTGCCTGTATCGGCCACTGAAAAACTGTATTGAACATAATTAGCAATATCTCATAATTAGCAAAACGGACTACTATTTAATTTTTACTAATAAAGACTAATTATCACTTTAGTAAGACTGAAATCAACTTTTAAAGTGCATTTAAACACATGTATTGTTGCAGTAGAAGTTACCTGATAAACTTTCCGTTTCATGTTGCACAATGGATGCAGCAGATCATCAAAGCGTAAAACAGAATGAATTGTTAGTCTCGAGCCTTGAACAGTAACAAACCATTTAGACAACCAGGAACAGATGCACTGTGACGTCAGTTAGCAATCACAAGAGCCAGCCAGACTCAATGACCCATCTTTCCATGAAACCAGCCACTGTCTCCTTTCATACAATTAGTGACACATGAGGCACCTTTTAGACATCCCACATCAAAATGTACATTCCTGCAACATACTAATCCTGTTAAGTCAATTCAAATATATAAGATTTAAAGAGAAAAAAAGTTACGTAATAAGAACATGTTCAAGCATGTAGATTTGACATAATTTCATTGTCTGTCTGGTTCATGATGAGCGTGTGAGCGTGTCTGGCTGAGTTTCTGTGTGTTTCTTCAAAAGGCGGATGGGACAAATTTGCAGACCAGCCGTAGTTGCTATAAAACATAATTTTTTTGGCCTATGAATAGCTTAATAACACACTTTTCCCTCCCATAACCAGTGTTACATCATGTAGCGTACAGTTATTAAAGCAGAGCGCTGAGTTTATGTATAATCTCACCACATGCAGTGACCGGTCACCACAGGCATATAATTAATTCTTGTAGTCCAAATAGCAGTGTGGCAGACGGTACACAAACAGGATATGGATGGGTTTTGAGTCACTGACAGGGCCTCCGTTCAAGAAAGACTGACTTCTCAGCCTGGCATAGGGAAGAGTTTTCTCCTCCGCAAGTCTGGGTGCACTCGTTGACTTGATGCAGCTGTTGCACATCTGCGAAAGGTGGAGAGACTTCTCTCTCTCTTTCTCCAGCCCGGTTTCCACAGGAAAACTTTGGTTAAAAAAGGGGGAGAGGTTCACTTTAGTTTCCCGCACGGTCCTAATTAAAGGTTGTTCTCCTTAACCTTCTAAAATAAACTTTCAAACCCTGGGCGGCTCCTGACGGTGGTTTGTTTGAATCAAAAGTGAAGTCTTTATTCTTTTAATGGGGCTCTGTCCATGGTGAGGGAGTTTATGGGGAAGTAACACAGGCATCCTCCTCTCAGGTTCCTTGTTGAGATTAAAGACACATCAAAGGCTCTGGAGGATCGTTGCACCCTGTAGGTGTAAGGGCAGGGAGTACCCTTCCATCAATTGTGGGCCTTATGTTTATTTAAGATAGTGCCGGTTGATGGCGGTCAGAGGGCTAGGCGTGTGGTACAGTTTGAGCTCTGCTTTCATGCTTTGACATAAAACCCAGCTGTGCCCCTGACTCCTCTTATTGAGACTGTCTGGATTCAAGTTATAGAGAAAGGCTAGATTACCATTATGCTTGGCTGATTCGCAGAAACTTTTATCCAGAGTGACTTAAAGTACAGTTTTAGTACACGGATGGCCCCTCTAGTGCAACTTGAGGTCAATTGTGTTACTTAAAATCGTTCAAACTAGCTGAATTTTTATCACTATAGTTAAGAGTTTATATCCCTGTGTGTTTATGTGAATTTTGGAAGATCACATAAAAATTCTGAATGGAAACACTGAGATAAAATTTCCAAAATGTGCATTAAAAATGACTTCTAATGTCAGATTTATCCTAGCATGTGAATACGTTACATCGTTGTTTTATGCTTAATAATAATGAAAATAATAATAATAATAATAAAAAATTACATGTTGTTATTTGGCTTAGGCTCTCTCTTTATGCCTTGCAAGTGTTTTATTAGTTAATTTTTTATTTTCATTCTTTCTTTTTTTTTTAGTTATTAGGCTGTTATTTAGAGTGGTATGTTTTACTTTTACACCTGAATATATGTGTCCTTCTTGCAGTTTAAACATCTTCGTTGTTTATTATAGAAGCAATCTAGTTTTGTCACTTCATGTCGCTTACTTGTAGAACCGTTGTCACACATAATGCATAAACTCTAATTGTGAGAATGATTTCAATCGTGTTTGTTATTAAATAAAGTAACAAAATAAGTAATGACTTATGGTGTCAATTGTAAAAAGTACATGTTATTTTGCATGTTCAATCCTAAAAGTAATCCTGAACTTTTTCCTTTTCTTTTTCCTTTTTACTTCCAAACCACTCAACCACTGATTGCTTTTACAATTGATTGTAATTTTTAAACCCAGACAGCATTTACTGTTGGATAGGGTGTATAAAGCCAGAAGTGAGCTTAAATTTAATCAAAAGGACGGACCTCATCTGTTGAGCTCTTCTGTTGGTCCGGTGATGATCTTAAGTCTGCGCAGGTTTTAAAAACCCCATGCAAACACATATGGGGCTCAGAAGCAGCAGCTCTTTCACTAATTAGACAGTCTTATTAAGTGGCCCAGTCTGAGTAACTGCTGTGAGGAGGGAAATATGTGATCTTTTATAATTTCAGCACTTGGTTTGAGCCTTTATTCCCTCCTTATGGAAGGCTTAATCAAATGGACTGTATTCTCTAAGGTTACTTGTCCTTCTCTTGGCATTGTACACAATGCCACATTTAATATAAGTCATATGGTGCGTCTGCTGATGTAAATTTTCTACAGCTCTGAGAGATTACGGAAAGTAGTAAGACAAGCTGAATCAAGGTCACATACAAGTCTCATCTTCATGCCGCTGGACCCAAACAAATGAGACATTGCTGTTGCCCCGCTCACAGTGTTTGATCTGGCAGGATGGAGTGAACAAACCAATGGAACAAACCTTGTTTCACATCTGAATGTATAAAAGGGTTTGGTTTGGTTTCAGGATGTTTGTCTCTTTGCCAATCTCCGCCCCTTGGGTGTAGTTTTTCAAATGCCGAATTTAAACAATTAATCTCTAGACCCACTGTTGGGAACAAGAAGTATACAATTTCAGGATTTCCATGGCAACAGGCAGCCCTTGGTCTTTGGGCTACTAACTTGCTTTTCTTCTCTGTGGTCTATTCAATGGTTTCACTCTGAACTCTTTTGTTCGGCAATTGACACGGTCAGAGTACATAACTACAACTGAATAAAATCCTTGTTAGTAACCAGAGGCTCTTTACATGGGCCCCAGCTGATCCAAGGGACAGTGATCTGCTTAAAATTGTTTGTTTACGTATGTATTGTTGATTTGAGTTAACAGTTCTCACTTGTTTGGATCTTAAAAGTGCATTTAGTAATTTTTTTATGGTCTTGGAGTGATACCGACAACTAGACGCATAAATTCCTTCACATCCCTCATGCCTTGCGTCTTAGTTTAAAACTTTGTTTAGTATTCATTACATATTTAGGCTTTTTTATTTATGGTTTCTGCTAGCAATAAGTGTCTTGTACTCTTAGTTCCTCTTTACTCCCACAGATTTCCACATTTAAATCCAATTTGCAGAATTCCTCAGACATTTTTCCCTAAAATCGGTGCAGAAAATGTGGAAAGAGTGTGCCGATTTCATCTAGGCCTGGTCATGTGACCTCAGTATGGCGGCCCCCGTGAAGTAATCTGCAAGTTAAATAAAAATTTTTAGGCTACTGGTATGATTTTGATATATTTTTATCCATGTAAATGTGCATTTACATTCCAATTTTTTAAATATTATATTATATAATATACTTTAATGCAATAATATAAATTTTTTTTGTTTGTTATTTCAGTGCATGTTTAATGCAATTGTTTATTGTTTGAGCTGTATAAACTTAACTCAACTTCCATCCATCAATCTAAAGGACATTTTATGTGTTTCCACAGCTGAGTTTCTGTCCAGCTTGGGCCAGTATGAGATCGCCATCCCAGTGCGTGTGGGGCCACATGGGGAAACACTATCGGAAGAGGAGACCTCTCACAGGAATGGCCGACACCGGCGTAGCACGGAAACGCCAAGCGTTCCAGAGCCGCAGCTGTACTATCAACTCTCCACATCGAGTGCTGACCTTTTGCTCAACCTCACACTGCAGGGAGGACTGCTCTCGCGACAGTTCCGTGTAGAATACTGGAAGAGGGGGCGCTTGGCTTGGAGTCACCCATACTTGCCCAGCTGCCACTATGTGGGACACCTGCAGCACCAGCCTCACTCTAGTTCTGTGGTTCTTAGCAACTGTAATGGCCTGGTGAGCTCCTTTGGAATTTTGAAGCAAACGGTGATGTGTCTCAAATGATGTGCTAATTAATGTGCACTTAACCTACGCATACAATATGACATCAAATGCAGAAGTCCACATAATGGCCTACACCTATAGCCTTAAAGGAATATTCCAGGTTCAATAAAAGTAAACTTAATCAACAGCATTTATGGCATAATGTTGATGTATAAAGCAGAAATGTGAAGTTTATAATTTTATAAAAGTACTTAAAGGCACAATATGTAATTTTCGCCGCTAGAAGGCACGTATTCAAAATAAACAAATAGACAAAGGCGTAGTTTGATGATGCTTGGAATCATGGGACTCGGTCAGAAATCATGAGCTAGGATGGGCTGAGCTAATGATTTATTACCGTAGTAGTATGAAGCAGGGTGAGGCTGAAAGCCGTAAGCGAAACATGGCTCGAAAGCAGCGGAACTTTTATTTATAAAAGGGGAAGTCGTGGCCTAATGGTTAGAGAGTCGGACTCATAACACAAAGGTTGTGGGTTCGAGTCTCGTACCGGCAGGGATTGTAGGTGGGGGGAGTGAATGTACAGTGCTCTCTCCCACCTTCAATAGCCTAGCAGGATTATTAGCCTAGCACGACTGAGGTGCCCTTGAGCAAGGCACCGAACCCCCAACTGCTTCCTGGGCGCCGCAGCAAAAATGGCTGCCCACTGCTCCGGGTGTGTGTTCACGGTGTGTGTGTGTTCACTGCTGTGTGTGTGCACTTTGGATGGGATAAATGCAGAGCACTAATTCCGAGTATGGGTCACCATACTTGGCCACATGTCACATCACTTTGATTATGCCACAGTCGACCGCTTCCGCTCCTTCCGGTCGTGCGTATGTGTGTGCGGGGGAGAAAGCAGCACTGTTTTATCATACTAGATACATTTGAAAGTTCTGTTATAATGCTACTCTGTGCGGTCGTCACCGGTCTATAAAAACGCACAACGTATTAAAGCGTCTTTAGTGTTTCCATGTTTTCTACAAAACAAAACCAGAAATCGAGGGGTTATTGCTTATTTCTCTGGATTTAAACATTCTTCGAAACATTTGGGACACAAGTCAGCAAAATATATAACACTGTTCTAGTGGTTTTTGGATATTTTAATAAAAAAATCGTACATATTGTGCCTTTAAATTGACTCTTTTAATCAAACTTTGATGTATTATACAACGTAATCACTTTCTTTCTATACTCGAGTGCGTTATCGTGGCTCCCCTGTACATTAGAAATGGGCAGGTGTTGCTAAAGTCTGTCTCTCCCAGCTGGTGTAAAGCTCAACTCTAAAAACAGGTGTTTTGGAGAATAATGATGGATTTAGTTTCAAGCAGCATGCTGTGGCTTGCTCATTACTTGCCTGAGCTGGTAATACACCTGCGTAAACAGATTGCAAAGTCAAGACCAATGCTTGTTTATCCAGACCCTTTGAGTATACTGTTAAATCTCTCTGATAAATGCCATCTGACATCCTGGATACAGTATTGGGCGATTCAACTACCTGGCATCACAGGTGCTAATACATGACTGGACTGGTCGATAATTTATCCATTTTTAATAGTGTGTGCACCAACACAAGTAAATACAATGGAGGATTAAGCTTGCTCATGAAGGCGGTAAAAAACTTCCAGGTTAATTATTGGTGATCAGAGTAGCATGACTAAATTCACCAGGGAATGCTCAGTGTGTCCACAAGAGCGTCACTAAGCACATTACAGGATTATGTGGACTTGAAAAGTGTGACCGAGAGAGATGAAGAGAGGAAACGATGAAACATGCTAAGATCCTTTGGCCAGCATCCATGAGTTCCCATTTCATCCAGGATTATTAGCCTAGCACAAGCTCATTATTTTATAGGGGAGACTAATGATGGGATGATTTGATCTGGTCAGGGACTTCAATGTATCTAGCGTGTAAAATCAGATTGCCCAGGGAAGCCAACTGTTTAGTTTTTTTCACATGCAAGCAAAAGTATATCATACATTTCAATGTCAGACCCTTCATGCTAATCTGAATCTATGGTTTCTTGTGTTTTTTCAGCAAGGGGTCATTGTGGCTGGAGGTGAGGAGTACCTTATCGAACCCTTGGTTTCTGCTAAAAACATCACTAATGAGGATGGCAGAGAAGGGCACCCCCATGTGGTGTACAAACGGTCATCTCTAAGATACCAAAACATGGACCAGTCCTGTGGAGTCATTGGTAAGAACTAAAAAGGCCATGAAGATGTTTTTTAAACCTTTTAAGCATCAACTCACAAGAGAAAATTGTGTTCTCCAACCCATTTCATGGGGTCTTTCAGTATGTATGGAATCCCGTTTTAATCATAACATTAAAGTCACATTATAATGGAAGTAGAAATTGATATTTTCACGCATTTTGTGACATACATCTGAGAGAAACAGATTGTTGAAAAATGATGGGCAGGAATTTGGTTCTGTCCATCAGTTGTGCATTGAATGGAGGCAGATTTGAATGGCGAGCTTGTACGTAGTCGATTGTAAGAAAGAGGTGGGGTTTAAGCACACTAAATGATTGGAGAAGTCTGGCATACGTCACCAGAGAGAAGTTTGCCCTTTCATCAGAAGCTTAAAGAATTCATTTAGAAAAAAGATAGAGTGAATTTACATTTCATGCTAACCAAATCTAACTTATTTGGGACACTGCCAGGTTTATAGGTAAACTTATCATAGCTACCTTATTGAAAGTAATTAATCCAAAGTCAGCTCATTCACAATTTGAAGTTATGCTAGAATGATTTTGTATTAGTAAAATAGTATTAAGTTCTAGATTGAAGGCACTTTTTTTCATCACAAGATTTTTATAAAAACTGTAACTACAGAGTTTTGCTCATTGTGGCTGTTTCTCTTTAGATGAGAAGCCTGGTAAGAGCTATGGATGGTGGCAGAGAACAATAAAGCCCTCACCCAACCAGATGGGACGGGGCCAGTTACCACTGAAGCGTTCTGTCAGTCGAGAGCGCTACGTCGAAACCCTCGTGGTGGCCGACAAGATGATGGTCAGCTATCACGGCCGTCGCGATATCGAACAGTACATTCTGGCTGTCATGAATATTGTAAGCTTCAACTCTCCTTGTTCTTTTGTGCATGCTTAAAGGAATAGTTGACACAAAAATGAAAATCTTGTCACTCCTCATGTCTTTTGAAAACCCATATCACTTTCTTTTTTCCTTGGACACATGGAGTTATTTATAGCAGAATGTCCAAGCTGCTCTTTTCCATACAATGAATGTGAAGATTCATCAAGTCAAGAAAATTTTCAAAAGATTTTAGATTTTGATCTGTTCCTCACAAAGCTATCATATGGGTTCTGCCTGTAAGTTAAATGAAGTACTTTCTGGACGATTTTTTGGGTGCTTATTTGGGATTTGACTGCCCCTGGTTTCTAGTTGCTGTCTTTTTATGGAAGAAAGCTGTTCGGACATTGTGCTAAACTTTTCGCCGGTTACTTGAGAGCCTTACAAAGACCTAAAATGAACATTCTGCAATGTCCCACAGACTAAGTGAATCTTCAGAGGATGTTTGACCTATCCAGGTCATTTGTTTTGGCTCAGAGAATAATGATTAAATGAAAACCAAGTAACTGTCTTCTGTAACTCTGAGGATCCATATTTCTCTCTCCAATTTATAATCCCCATGGGCGATTTGTGGCATTGTTACAAATGGTTTCACACCTGTGGAATGTGTTTAATGAAGGGATTACCTCACCTCGCTGCCCCAGCGCAGCAGTTAGCACTGGTTTTATAGTAGACTGTAAACTGTCCATCTTTACAGTAAACAGCAGGATTAGAAAGGTCTAAAAACAGACAACTGGCTCGTTTTTAAGACTGGTTTTTTCTTGTTTCCCTGGAGGTCAGGTTGCCAAACTGTTCCAGGATTCTAGCCTGGGGAATGCAGTGAACATCGTTGTGACGAGGCTTATTCTACTGATGGAAGACCAGGTACTCTTACTGAAGCACATTTACCTAGAGGACTGTTACATTTATTACATTTGCCTGATCACAGTATTTGTGCACTTTAAATTCCAGTCACGCATTACCATTCAAATAGGGACATTTTAAGTGAACATAGAAATGCGATAGCATGTTTCAGTTTCTGGTGCAGCAGTGTGTTATGTGAGATATAAACACCTCTGGTGTGTGCATGCATCATTTGTGAAAAGTATAAACAATGGTTTAACATGCATTGTGAATGCAACGCTCTGGCTTCACTTTATTTTAAAGTGGTGGTTGATTATTGAAATTTTAGTTAGTGTGTAATGTTGCTGTTAGAGCATAAGCAACATCTGCAAAGTTACGATGCTCAGAGTTCAATGCAAAGGGAGAAATTTTCCTTTAAAGAAATGGCTGTTTAAGGACTACAACAAAAGGCTTGTAGGGACTACAACGAGCTTCTTCCTGGGTTTGTGACATCATTCACTAACCCCGATGTTTACATAAACCCTGCCTCCGCGAACTGTTTTGACAAGAACGGAAACAGTGGTGTAGAAGGTAAAATATGTGAAAATGTTATACTGCACCCCAAAAACACAATCAAGCCTTTGAAAAAAGCTGATCAATCACCCCTTTAATATAAAATATAAAAATTATAAATATTATAATATAAAAATTATAAATACATTATTTGTACATTTTGATTGAAGGACTTAGGATAGACATATACACAATTGTTAAAATTTTATTTATTTATTTTTAATTCAGCAAGATGCTTTAAATTGAACAAAAATTACAGTAAGGATTTTAGATTGTTTGACAAGATTTCTAATTTAAATAAATACAGTTCTTTTGAACTTTCTATTCATCAAAGAATCCTGAAATGTATCACAATTTCCCCAAAAATATTAAGCTGCACAACATTAAGTAGTTTTATATTAATATGTAGTTTTATATGTAAATGTAAATGTATATGTAAAACTACATATTAAAATATAAAAAAATATATTTAAAATATTGTTATTCGTGCAATTCTAGCCCTGTGCAATATTTTAAAACTTTGTAAAATCCTGAATGAAACGTACCCGTTATTGTATAATTCCAAGAACACGTTCATTAAGCTTACTAGCAACATAAGCAATATTTATTGCAATTATTTATACACAAATTATTCATCAGACAAAATTTCATGATTGTGACAGCCCAACACATACACATATAAGCCTTATGGCCCGTTCACACCAAGAACGATAACTATAAAGATAACTATATTAGCGTCCACACCGATTCTGTGATTCTGTCCTCACCAGCGGACGATATCGTCTGTTTATTCCAAGCGCACACTCGTCTGCTGCTTTAAATTCTCGAGCTTGTTATGGCAGGATTGATTCTGATTGGCTGTTAATGTTTTTATTGTTCATCAGCTGGAAAAAATCGTTCTGAAAGTGATTCCAACTATATAATTTCTCTGTGCCTTTATCGTTATAGTTGTGGTGTGGACTCTGCTATTCTTTAATATTGAGAACGATTTTTAGAACTATATCTTTATCGTTATCTTTATAGTTATCATCCAGGCCTTTAGTCTGGCTTATTTCACCTGTCAAAGAATTCCTTGTTTGTGTATTTACAGGCAAAAGCGTCCAAGTCTGAGGCAGTTGAGACCGTCCGCACAAGTCTGGACTGTTTGCTACCTGGTTCTGCTGGGTGTGTCTAGAGAACCTGCCATGACTGCTCTTATTGTTGATTATGACCTCTCATTTTGCCACACTCATGAATGTACAGGGCCTTAAAAAAATGTGTAAGAAATCGAGAAAAATCTAAGGGGAAGCCAAACTGTACTGCTACTGTTCTCGCCGCCTGCTTTTAAATGCAATCAATCTGCCTCTGTCATGCATTCAGGCTTCCACCTCTGTCCTGAGCAGGGCGTGACGACGCCACATGAGCGAGTTGACTCGCTCCGCGGGATCTCTGGAATACGTCGACCTCAAACAGGCTCCTACAGACGACGCAGGGCAGGGAAAGGATAGGAGTGGGGTTTTGCGGTGTATTTAATGATGCATTAATGATCCCAAATCACAGACAGCTAAAAATAAATACCCTGTAATTTGTTCCGCATAATGTCATTTGACAAATGATGGGAGACTGGTCATTAGGAGCAGTATTAGCCGTGTTGAGGTAACTACCGCGTGGCATGCTGAGGTTTCGTGGAACCAAACATGGTTCGTTTCCAGATGAGAACACCCCGCCACCCCCTGTGGTAGAGGAAACCTGGAAAGTTAGGATTCTGAGCACTGGATTGTGGGATGATACAATTATAGACTATGCGAATGTGTGTGCATTCCTAGGATGCTGTGGCCATCTTGGGTGATGGGTGCCAGGCAGAGTGGTATAGGGAAAAACTGTACATTTGTCTTTTTGTACATTCTAGCAGTGTTTTTGTTATGTCTGTATTATCATACAAGCCCTCATCAGCTGTAAACCCATCAAAAAAGCAGAGAAATAGCTTAGAGCTGTGCATGTTTAAAGCTAAAGAAGCTATAAGTTGTACCTTAAAAAGTTAGACTTATTGCGGGTAACTTGCATCTCTAAAACAAAGCATCTCTATGAACTCCTTTTCAAAGAGCTCAAAATATTATAAAGCAGAATTTATGTTAAAATATTTTCTCCAATTGCAGTTGAAATGTGCTGTCACATTTACAGAAAGGTCCGCATGCTGGGACTCAAACTCATGGTGCCTGAATCACAACGCATATGTCGGCAAGCTGCCCAAAAGTCTATCCGCACAGACTGCCACATTTACTTTCATATGAAAAAAGTCCCCCTGGTGAATTGGATCTCTTTAGGAATCCACATGATTGGAATTTTGCATGACTTGTGAGGATAAATTCCCATGCAAATTTCACATCAGGTTCATGTTTGTTGAACATTTACTGTTATAAAGCTGCTTGCTTCATGTATTGCTACACTACATATGGACCGTTTTTCCTTGTGAATTTTTTGGTAGACATTTTTGCTGATTTGATCTCACCTTAAGGTGTAGACACTATACGTGAGCCATATGCATACTTTTGGTAGACATTTTTGCTGATTTGATCTCACCTTAAGGTGTAGACACTATACGTGAGCCATATGCATACTGTACCAATGGCAAATGGAAGAAGTGTTCGGTGAAACCTTTTTGAAAACAATCATTGCTTATGCTGTTTTTTTTGCACAGAATTGAAATATTTCAGCTTGAAAGAACCAGCATATTGTCAACTGTTAAAAAGAAGACCAGTATCAGCCTAGTTGGGAAACTATTTTTAGGGTCTTACTGTACTACAAATACATATGAGCATGCACATACATTTATCTCATCAAATTATACACAAAGAGTACGATGTATATGCAATAAATCTGATCCAAGTTTATCTGATCCAAATTTTTCCTTTCCTCTCTTGCCAGCCCACACTAGAGGTAAACCATCACGCAGGGAAGTCTTTAGACAGTTTCTGCAAGTGGCAAAAGTCCATCCTGCACCGGAACGGACATGGGAATGCCATCCCTGACAATGGAATCGCTCACCATGATACAGCAGTCCTCATCACCAGGTCAGCATATTTCAGTATACACTTTTAAAAACTTTTTCAACACACACACTAACATCTGTCTAATATTTTGTAGCACTCCATTGGTTCTACAAGGCAACAGGTCATAATTATAAAAAGGCTGTACTTGAAGTGTGTGTTTGGAAGAACAAGCGATTTATGGTAAATCATGCTATAGCTTTAATCTACACAATGAGGAGTTAGGTTGAATTCCTGTGCCTCAGAGTTGAGTGAGAGAGATAACATGTGAAGTATGAGAAAGAAATAGATAGTGAGAGTGAAAGAGAGAAGCAGAGAGAAAGAAAAATTGTGGGAAGTGTTGAGTCTTTATATTGGAGGCTTATATCAGAGGGTATGTCTGCTGAATGCATCAAGCATTTCCTTTCATTGTCTTCACTCTCTTATCAGGACAGTGTCCAGTCTGTGACCTGTCTCACAGTTCTAGTATCTGTGTGTGTGTGTGTGTGTTCTGTGGAAACCCAAGCAGTTTATTCACTCAAAAATAAAAAAACATAAATATTTCTCTGGTGTGTTTTCAGGTATGACATCTGCATCTACAAGAACAAACCCTGTGGAACACTTGGTAAGACATCCATCTATCCATTTAACCAATCCATTCAGTTGTCCAATCCATCCATCCTATCATTTCATCCATTCTACCAATCTATCCAATCTGTCCATCCTACAAATCCATCATCTCTACCAATCCATCCATTCTACCGGTCTATCCAATCCATCCATCCTACCAATCCATTCAATCATCCATAATTAATTAGCTTTATCTGTCTGCATATATTAAGTATTTGCTTATTCATTGCTGAATTCTCATTTCTTCTCTGTTCATAACAAAGCTAATCGAAGGTTTATTGGTACTGTATTGTCTTTTAATTTTTATTAGTTTGTAGAGACTAATTAATTAATGAACTAATCAGCAGTACTGTAGTAGGATTTGCATATATGTGTATTTGCATATCCACCTTATTTTTCATTGTGGAAGTAAGCTATTTCCTGTGAATGTGTGGAACTTCCAATCGATTAGCCGCTACAGGTAAACAACTATAAGAATAAACAGTACAGTAAATTGTAAAACTATTTGTGCAATAAAATGTGTTTGTAATTGTGATAAAAATATGATAATATGATAACAAATATACAAGTTTGCAATTTCAATCAACATAACATGTACTCTTTTTGTACAGATGAAATAACTGAAAGCGGCTGACAATGTTAAAAAGACCCGGCCCACTCTTACGTTAAAAATAAGGTGGATAGTGTTGTAGCATATATGTGTATGTGTGTGTCCATGTCACTGTGCTCGTGTGCACACATGTGTCCGTATCAGGATTGGCACCTGTTGGCGGTATGTGTGAGCCAGAGAGAAGCTGTAGCATCAATGAAGACATTGGTCTGGCCACTGCTTTCACCATTGCACACGAGATAGGACACACGTGAGTCTCTTCCAATTCCTCAACTTCCTTGCTTACATCTTATGTTCCTCTGTTCCTGCGTGTCTTTTGGCCTGAATTTTGATGATTGATGCTGTTTACTTTGGGTCAAGAGGGAACTGCAGGGAGTTTGTGAATTAATTAAAAGCTAATTCATTAAATGATAAACATGTAAAATGAAAATAAATACAGAAATGTAAAATAAAATGAAATGCTTACTAAAAAAACGATTCAAAATTAAATTTTTACCAGCATTTAATGTGACCAATAACCAAAGTCAGAGAACTGTGAACATGCAAATGTGTTGTTAAATTATTGAAATATTAACTTAAAATCTCAGAAGGCATTAAGTATTTTAGTTCAAAGGGATTCTGCTGACAAAAAAGTTTGGGAATCCCTGATGTACCTAAACTGTGACAAAATTATGTCAGTATATAGTATATTCCAAAATCTTCATATTCCAAAACCTTTTGAAGCTCTACTATAAGCCAGCATTACATCAGCTTTCTTAAATTCCAGTTTTGCCTACTTGAGTCATCAGGGCATACCCTCTCAACTCTGACCTTAACATTTGCCCTCTACTCTGAGTGGCCTACCAAAATAAACTTGGGTTAAATTCAAGGATGATCTCTAAAGCCACTAGAGCCTTTTAAATACAAATAATGCTCATTATCAACAACTGCACTAATATTTTCTCTCAGTCTTGCAATATTTATATCTTGCCCACTGCTCCGGGTGTGTGTTCACAGTATGTGTGTGTGTGTGTGTATGCACTTGGATGGGATAAATGCAGAGCACAAATTCCGAATATGGGAAACCATACTTGGCTACACATCACTTTCACTTTCATCTGAATTTATGGGCACGCCTGGTTGATATCACACTTCGGAATATTTCCCTGAAAGGCAGTTGTGTTGTCATTTCTGCTGCTTTGGTAGTTGAAAAGCATTTTTTCCCCATCATTGTATGGATCTGAGCTCTGTTTGTGCTGGGTCATTCAGCACATTGACCCAGATAACCCTCTATGTTAGATAGGCTATGTTAGATAGTTATAGAGGGCTATGTTAGATAACCCTCCTTTCTCGCCAAGAACTGTACTCATCCAGAGTGAGCAAAAGGGCTAGCAAAATCACTCTAGACCCCTCACATCCAGCACACTCCCTCTTTGAACTGTTGCCATCTGGTCGACGCTACAGAGCACTGAGCACCAGAACGACCAGACACAGGAACAGTTTCTTTCCTCAGGCAATCCATCTCATGAACACTTAACAATAATCGTGGAACACACAACACTAGTATACATTATTTATTTAACAGACATACTTATTTACATTTCAAATTTGCACATATCATACCTGTCTATATTATATATTGTGTTTTTGCTTTTTTGTACATTGTCTATTTTGTCTATTTTTATATAATTCTTTTTATTATCTGTGTCCTGTCTTGTCACTGTCATTCTGTTGCACTGTGGAGCTTCTGTCACTAAAACAAATTCCTCGTATGTGTAAACACCTGGCAATAAAGCTCATTCTGATTCTGATTCTGATTCTGACATTGTTGCCTTGGCTATGCTCATGGGCCTCGGAGCTGTTTTCATAGGTGGTGAAGTCATTAGTGGTCTGGTCCTTATGGTTCATCCAGGTACCTTTGAACTGATGGCCATATGACGCTGCACACTGGGGCTGTCTAGACAAGGGGGCATATGTTTAACTGTGTATAGGATTGCATAGGTTTGTGAGAGGTGCTGATAGGTTTGGGTATGTATGTTCACATTCTGTAACCAGGACCATGGGATTCCATTTTTATAATTCCATAAAATCATTAATCTCTCTCTTTCAGGTTTGGGATGAATCATGATGGTGTTGGCAATGCATGTGGGGTGCGCAGTCAGGAGACTGCTAAACTCATGGCTGCCCACATCACCATGAAGACTAACCCTTTCGTCTGGTCTGCCTGCAGCCGCGATTACATCACCAACTTCCTCGAGTGCGTCTGCTGCCTCAGTCTGAGATCTGTATTTTCACTGAGACATATTGGATTTAGTGTGAAATATTGACCGTATCATTACTCAATTTTAGTATCATAAATTTCCAAAGGATTGGATTATAAAAATTATTGATGTGAATGTCTGTTTAAACTACAACATGATCGTCTCGAGTTTGTGTTTACGAGGCATTTGTTACATGAGGTGCTTAATAATGATAGACCAATATACAGGCTAATTAATATTTGGCCATTGTAAACTATGCCTGAAATCTTCTGATAGCTAGTTCACATTTTCTGTTTTCAAATATTTTTGTGAATATTTGTTGTACATTTTAATCCAAGTTTATTTCTTTTCATTTTAAATATTATTTTTATAGACTACAGTAAAGACTTTTTGTTGTTACAAAAAATCTATTTCAAACATGTGCCGTTTTATTTTGATAAACTTTATATTTAACTGTTAATATTTAACTGGTTTCAAACTATTTCTTGAGCACCAAATCAGCATATTAGCATGATTTCTGTAGGATTGTGTCACATTGAAGACTGGAGTAATGGCTGCTGAAAATTCATATTTACTATCACAGGAATAAATAAAACTTTTAACTATATTAAAATAGTATCAAAATAGTCTGTGGCACTTTTGCGTAAATTTCTTACTATGGTGATTAAAATAGGTTTCTAACCATTAAGGCTGATTCACTCTGCCACAACAAATGTAAACAAGAGTTAACACACTGATCCCCCCCCCCAAAAAAACAACAATTGTTGGAATTAAGTGTTTGTTGGCATCAGGGCAGCATGAACTAGCCTTTACATTTTCATCACTTCTCACACACCCGTTATGTTTTCCTTCTGATTGTTTCTTAGCTCTGGCATGGGTTCCTGCCTGAACAATGTTCCCCCCAAGCAGGAATTTGTTTACCCCACCACAGCCCCTGGCCAAGCCTATGATGCAGACGAACAGTGCCGCTTTCAGTATGGAGTGAAGTCTCGTCAGTGTAAATACGGGGTACTTGCATCACTCAGTGTAATCGACAACAGTTCTTCACCCAAGAAAGAAAATTCCATCATCATCATCTATTAAAAATGCAGATGAGCATGATTTTTGACAATGGTACCATGACAATACCATGTTTTTTCTGATTTACCTTTCAGATGTTTGGGGTCAGTAAGATTAAATTTTCTATTCATCAAATAATCCTGCAAAATGTATCAGTTTTATTTTAATTACATTTTTTCAAAAAACATTAAAAAAATATCAAAAACCCCAAACTTTTGAATGGTAGTGTACATCACCATACAAGAACAGCATTGTTTTAGACATTAGAACATAGATATTCGATGTTTACAGTATCAGTAACAAAAAAATACCATGGTAATACTATGCATATGCAATGTTTTGTCTTCAAGAGGCATAAGATAACTTTTTGTGTTAGAGTCATGATTTGCTAGAACATTTTCTTTTTATTTTTTGGTGAACTATTCAAAACATGTTTAAAATATTTCTTTTTTTAAATCTGTAAAATAATCTATTTTTTGTATATTGACTCTTTTTAAAATATCTCATTTAGAAGTATATAACCATCCTACTGTAAGACATCTATGCTCAAGTAGAGTCTTTGTACAGATGAATTGTGGGTTATGGTCCTATCCAGGTTGCCTTTATATCCTCACAGTAAATCATTTAGCGCACTCTTTATCTCTCTCTCTCACTCTGTAAATCTGCACCAGATAGTCGTTCTACCTTTCGTTGACTGTAATATTCCATCTTTTTGCTCCCCCAAGACTTCAGACACCGGCATTCTGCCACTTTTGTCCAAAACCACAAGTTGGTCAAAAGTTTGCTTCTCTTTGGTTTGCGGCTCTATTCTCTGTCAGCCAAACACCTCCACAGATCCACAATGGAGCTCAGAGCTCAGTCTTTATAGTGTGCTATATCTGCTCTTGTTGAGTCAAGCTTTAGGTATTGACTGCTTTATGGGATACCAGTGCAGGGAACTGAACATATGTAGGAGGATAACACACACTAGTTCAGCTATCACTATAACTATGTAGTCTAATAAAGCAGGAAGTTATTAGGTAGGTCTGAAGTGCAGTGTGTTCTTTACATTTGAGGGGACATCTGATCTACATCAGAAACAAAGAGTGCCATGGTATAAGTACAACATGCTAAAAATGCTCAGAACACCTTAGCATCCACATAGCCACATCGGAAGACGTTGTTTGGTGAAGGAATTTCCCATTTCTGCTCTTACCACACATTTCTTCAGTCTCATGAGTGTTTCTTAAGGTCTGTTTTTTCCTAGGGTGACCATACGTGCCATTTTATGGAACACGTCCTGGACAGGATTTCTATATTGCATAAAATATCCAGGTTTTGGCTGTTAGCGCTGCACAGACCGATCGGTGTATGACATGCGTGAGCGCTATAAAGAGCAGACACTCCTTAGCTTTCGAATCGCTCTCGCGGTACTTTGATGTCAAACACCGATCGATCTGCGCAGCGCTGCTTCAAGTCGAACGAACGATCACATCTAATCTGTACGCGTATATCTGCATCGATTTGACCGTTCTCTGTAGATCTCACCTTCTCACGCGCCACGATTGGTCGATTATGTACAATGCCTGCACGTTATTGGTCAAGCTACTTTTCGATCATTACCTTCAGCAAGTATGAAAACAGGAAACAAAGCATAATATAGAAATCCTGGCCAGGACGTGTCCCGTAAAAATGGCACGTATGGCCACCCTAGTGTTTTCTGCCTTATCTGGAGTTTTGTTTAGTGGATTGTGTGTGTGTGTTCAGGAAGTGTGCAGTGAGCTTTGGTGCATGAGTAAAGGGAATCGCTGCATCACCAGTAGTATCCCAGCCGCCGAGGGCACCATCTGTCAGACCAGCACCATCGAAAAAGGGGTAAGCACAAGGAATTCTGGGAACATGATGCCAGGAATAGCAGGACACAGCCATGTCTACTGTTTTATGTTGATTAAAGCCATTTTCTCATTAGTGGTGCTACAAAAGAATGTGTGTGCCATATGGAACACGTCCGGAGGGGGTAGATGGTGGGTGGGGCCATTGGTCGCCATGGGAGGAGTGTAGTCGCACCTGTGGGGGCGGAGTCTCGTCCTCTATTCGCCATTGTGACAGCCCCAGGTGAGTCAGGCTCATGTGATTGATTAACACTGTTTGATTGGACAGATCATTAGTGGCATTATTCAGTGACAATGGTCATATGCTACATTGTGTGAATGGCAATGTTCAAAATGGAATACAGCTTGCTATTTACTGAATACTGCACAGTATGCTACCTACTGTTAAAAAAAAATAGTAAGTGGAAAAAAATAGGCATTATTTGATTTTTCTACATTGTCATATTACCTCATTATGTTGTATGTGTGGGGCATCCAGTTAAAGCATTGTAAAAATTGTTATTTTTAATTCTAATTTTGTGTGTAAAAATATCTAATATATAACTAATCAAATAATCGGTCAAAAATGAGATGACATTACTTACGGTTCATTTATCACAATGGAAATGGAAGGCCAATCAAGCGTGTTTCATTATGGGATACAGTATTCTGTGCAGTGACATTGTCATATTACCTCATTATGTTGTATGTGTGGGGCATCCAGTTAAAGCATCGTAAAAAATTGTTATTTTTAATTCTAATTTTGTGTGTAAAAATATCTAATATATAACTAATCAAATAATCGGTCAAAAATGAGATGACATTACTTACGGTTAATTTATCACAATGGAAATGGAAGGCCAATCAAGCGTGTTTCATTATGGGATACAGTATTCTGTGCAGTGTAGTTGGACATCCAAGTATTTTATGTATACAGTTTGCGGTAATTTTTTTTTTTCCAATAAGAAATTAATACTTTTACCCAGCAAGGACACAGCAAACGATTTAAAGGTGACAGTGAAGACATTTAAAATGTTAACCTAACAAAACATTTATATTTCAAATAAAGGTTCTTGTTAACTTTCTATTCATCAAAGAACCCTGAAAAAAGCACAACACTGATAATAATAAGAAATGTTTCTTGAGCACTACTTCTGCATATTAGAATGGTTTCTGAAGAATCATGTGACACTGAAGGCTGTTTTTTCCAGCACAGGAATAAATTACATTTTTAAAATATAGTAAATTAGAAAACCGTTATTTTAAATTGTAATAATGCTTCACAATATTACTGGTTTTCTGTATTTTTGATCAAATAAATGAAGCCTTGGTGAACATAAGATACATCTTTCAAAAACATAAAAAATATCGTACCCACCCCAAACTTTTGAACATTAGTGTATACTGTATGAGTGATTTGATGATTCATAATGTTCTTACTCTCAGCCTGTTGTACTCCATGAACCTAGTCTGTCAACATGCCAGGGAAAAATCGGAAAAACTAACAGAAAGACAGATGTCTGGCTGAAATGAACTTGAGCAGAATGATTTTGTAATTTACATTTACATTTAGTCATTTAGCACACGCTTTTATCCAAAGCGACTTACAAATGAGGACAATAAAAGCAGTCAAAACTAACAAAAGAGCAAGTACACGTAGCAAGGTATATATATATATACATACCGTATATATAATACACACACAAGAAAAACAACTAGATAGAATAGAAAAAATAGAAAGCAAGTTTTTTTAAAATAAAAAAAGAAGATAAATAGATGAAGTAGTATTAAAATAGAATAGAAAGTGCTAGAGTTAGAGGGTCAAATAAAGATTATAATTAATAACAATAATTATAGTAATTGAGAGTTACATTGAAATTACACTCAGATGTATCTTATGCCTGTCTTTGTGTGGATGCAGGCCAACAGTTGGAGGAAAATATTGTCTGGGAGAGAGGAAGCGTTTTAGATCCTGCAACATTGATGTGAGTTTGATACCTGCACGTCACTTACTGACTCCATTTGTGTGTGTATCTGTCTGACGTTTCTTCAAATAATTACTAGAACTTTGGTTTGTTTGTGGATGGATTCTGCTCCTCTACATTAGTTGACAACTAAAGACTGGTGCATTGGGCAAAATATTAAACCTCTAAATGTGTAGACTTACTCCAATAGATGAAAAGGATTCACAGTTGCCATGCTCCACTATATTCTCAGACTGACTGAATTGTGTGTGCATTAGGAGTGCCCGGCCGGATCTCAGGATTTTCGGGAGATTCAGTGCTCGGACTTTGACAGTGTTCCCTTCCGGGGGAAATTCTACACCTGGAAGCCGTACAGGGGCGGTAAGTACACAGCCCTTTATAGCACCTGTTCTGAGACATACTGGTCGTGACTTTGATTTGTGTCACTTCAATTAGCCTGTTTTTACTCTGAACTGCTACAGTTCTGCCTTAAATGCACTATAAGTCTTACCACATTGGTATTGTCCTATAAATGTGACCTATTTTACTGATACGTAAAATAGGTCACTAAATTATATTCAAATGATATTCATGGGACCCTACATTATTTCTAGTTGGCATACCTTTTGTTAAACACAATAGAATTAAATGTTTACACAAAGCCTATATGATTTTTACAATACTTTACAGTCATGTTAGTTAATGCATTAATTAAATAATATTAACAGATACTACTTTTGCTTTTAATAAAATTTAATTAACTTGAGATTAGTAGTAGTGAGTATTTCTCACAGCAAATGTCATGGTGGACACCCAAATCCACTATAATTTTATAAATAATGCTGTTTATGTGTCACAGAATGTAGTTTTAAGCATTTTTTTAGGCGAGACTGTAGTTGTTTAAACTTCAGATATGCAGTTTGTTAATAAAGATAATGTCTATTTGAACATTCACTTCAATATTTTCGGAGATGTGAGCTCCAGGGCATCAGCAGCCGTTCAGAGCTTATGAAGCCGCCGAAAGCAGCCTCACCTCGGCCAGTTCTTCTGGAATTTTCCACTTGCTCTGATGTCTAGTGGTTAAACATGAGATATAATTTGTTTTGGGTAAATGTAACGGACAGTCTTTGGTCTCATTTATCTATTATTTGTTCCTGAGCAAATAGTTTTGGCTGAGGGCAAAATCTCATCACGTATTTTATATAACTTTAATGCTGTCTGTTAGATCGCTGCCTTTTTACTTTTGGCTGAATTGCTTATCAACTTTTATGATGGCTCTTGTTGTTTTTTATTAGATATTATTATTCAATAAATAATATTGTATATAAATTATAGTATTATTTAATAATAGTATTTAGTATTGAGAAATGGTATGTGTTTGTAATGGTGATTTTAGTTACATTATTCCATCATTAGATGGTGACGAGACTGTCTTAATGAGTGAGTCAGCAGTAAAGACTTTTATATTGAAAGAGACTGAAACAGGGTTGTAAACAAGGAAGTTATTTTTACTTTCAACAACACCTTGTAAGACGCAGCCAACAAATGCACATTCAAATATTTGACTGGATGGGCAAAAATGACGGTTAAATCATTTTGAATCATTTGTGCCTACAGCCAAATCACAGCCGTGCTGATATACAGCCATATCGCACTGCTACTCGTGCTCATATATATATATATATTAAATGATTGTGGGATAAGAAAGATTTTCTGCAGTTGTCTGTTTTAAAATTAAAAGCAGTTTTCCGCTGTACATATTTTTGGTGTAATTTGAAATGTACAGATCTGGACTATTAAGGGGAGACTTTTTTGTAATCATTCTCACAAACTGTAGGTTGATATCTAACGTTGGATTCAAAATATAAATAGTTATGATATCATATTGGTGAATCCCTTGAACTAATACAAATGTCTATACTGAGAACTGAACAGAAGCACGTGATCTCAAAGTTACCTACCTACATCTTTCATGATTATGGGGATGTTTAAGTGCTCAGTTGTTGTTGTTTAAGACAACAAGAGTTTAGGGCTTTGGAAGGTGGTAGATATTAGGACTGGACCACCATGCTTCAAAGAACCAATCTCTGCACTGGCTCGGGTCCAGCACAGATGTGAGAGAGAGATAATGAGAGCGAGAGAAACTGCAGATAACAGTCTGGCATCCATATGCCGGGCTGTGGACTGCCAACTTCCCAGAAACCCTGGTTTAAATTTCTGCTTTTGATGAGTGTGAAGCTGGACGTCAAGGACATAACTGCCTTTAATCTGCCCTTCCAATAACATAATGGCTTGCAGAGAGAAGCCCACTGCAGGCTACAAGCGCTGCTTTCATCAAGTCAGCTGATTTTACAATGGAAATCCCTTGCAGCTGTTAAAATATGTGCCAGACTGCCGTTGCTGTAGGGTCAGGTAGCAGATAGACCTGTACTCTCTCTGTTCACACGGTCATCTTCCTTGTGATTTTCTTTTCACTTCTAGCATTGATTTCTTTTTGCCTGTCTGTGTGGGCCTTTCGTGTTGTTTGTGTACTGTAAATTGCCTGCTATATTTTAATAACAATATGCAGTAAACATTTCACCTAGTAGTATGCTGCGCTTTTGTCTCATGATCTTGCTCTGTTGCATATTTAATTATTAGTTGACTTGATTTTGTCTTTCTCTATCATGAATAATTTATTTTTTATATATTCTGTTTGTTTAGTCATTGTTTTGTTGTTAGTCAGTTAGTTTGTTTTTTATTTACAATATTTCAGTAATATGTGTAACTGTAGCACTATGCAGTGCAAACAATAGTATGCTACATTGTGGTCACATGACCTTGCTTGATGTTTCATTCGGCTAGTTGTCATCTCAGAAATAAATATGAGTATTTAGCATTTAAATTACATTTTGTGTAAAAATGGTTTGCATAATCACACTATCATAATCATAGGGTTCTGTTTGCATGAGCTCCAACTTAATTGCAGTACTGCCTTAATTGCATTTATAAGGGTGCTTGTAAATGAAGCCTGTATCTTAACTTTTGGCAGTCTGAAGTAACGAGTCCAGAAAAGCTTAAAATCATGCTTTAGCACTTTTGCTGAAGTTCAGGTCAAGCGCATTATATTGTGAGATACATTATTCAATTCATCATGTTTTGGCTGTACACTCTCTCTCGCCAGAACCTCCTGAAACGCCTGTCACTCCAGTGAAGCCCTCTTCTAGCCACCTCAAAAATATACCTATGCCCTTCCAGAGCAAAGTCTCATGGGATGTGCAGTTTCCATCGTAAGCCTGCTTCAATATATGTTTTCACAGGCACCCAGGACCTTATCAAATTAGTCCAACACTAACAGAAAATTGGCCAACAGCTCAAAAACGCCCTCTGTAGGTTTATAAAACACGTTTAGTGGAAGAGTTATTATTTAACGTGAAGACTGGTAGATGTGATCCTACTGATAAGGCAAGCGGGTCTTAGGCAGCCAAAGTGAGATTATGCAGAGTTTTAACACCACCGCTGCCAGGTACAGGCAAGTGGAACGGGTTCAGACCCACCAGCCTGTCAAGCATAATATAAAGGAGGCCTAAAGTAGTGTAGCGAATCAGCTCATGGGGAAATATGAATAATTAATCATAACTAGTTATAATTAATTATAAATATTTAGATCCGCTGTAGATATTTACTTGACCTCTCAGGGTCAACTGTCTGTCAATTCTAAGAACATTAATTTCCTTGTTAAGGGAAATAACTTTCTTACTGTACAATTCTACAAAAAGCTTGTAGCATAAATCTGCATGATTAAGTGACTCCAGTTATGAGCAAACAATGAACCACATCAGGTGTGATACAAGTAAGGCTTTATTAACTACATAAACACTTAAACTAGTCTAACATACTACATAAACACTTAAACTGGTCTAACATACACACACACACACACATTAATAGAGACCAAACACGTTATATGTAAGGTTACATGAATGAGTGGTTCTATCATAAGCATGCATAAACTAGTCTATAATACAACAGATAATATACAAGACAGCAATAATATACACAATGACCTGAAGGATATGTGTGTTCATTCAAAGAAAGGTTTTCCTATTAATTAATTAGAGAAGAGTAAATTTTTACTGTGCACTGTGGATTTCCTAAGGAAATTGTAGTGAGAGGGGTGACTCTCAACATGCCATTAGGTCGTAAAATCTCTCTGGTCTAGCAAAGGCGTCAGGGTTGCCATGGTAACCAGGGGTCCTGGGCCTCGTTCCCAGACATCTTGGCACCCAGTATGTTTATTGGGTGAGGGGTCTGTGAATGTTTGTTAATCTAATGAATAATTGATTTGTTAAATCAGATGAAAAATGGTGTGTCTGATTGGTCCAGACGCTACAGTAGGGACAAAATCACGTACTGGTACCAGTCTGAGTGGGATTAGGAGTCATTTAATTCCGTGTTCTCTGTCACACGTACAATAAAGAGTATAGTGTGTGAGTTCTGCGCTTTTAAACACTACATTAAAGTACAGTATGTTCCTCTTTTGTTCTTTCACTCCCTCTTTATCACCATTCATGTCTTTTTTCGTCTTGTACTTTTTAAATACCTGTTAGACATGTACAAAACTGTATTTTTCAAATTGACTAGTCCCTGGGTTGCTTTAATGAATAGATAACTTAAACCAGTGTTTCTCAACCCTGGTCCTGGGCGCCCCCCAACACTGCACATTTTGTGTGTCTCCCTAATCAAACACACCTGATTCAACTCATGAGCTCATTAGAAGAAACTCCAGGACCTGAAATAGGTGTGTCAGATAAGGGATACATACAAAATGTGCAGTGTTGGGGGGTGCCCAGGACCAGGGTTGAGAAACAGGTGCATTTCCATTACAGATTTGCGCAAAACTTTGGCGATATTTTCTGAATGTCGATAAAAAAGTATTGCGAAATGACGACGTTTCCATTAACCAATGTTATGCGGCTAAAACGTAACCTTTTGCCTCTCGTGATAAGTCATGGGAACGGATTTTGGTGGGATTTTGGCTAAATTTATTCAAAGGAGGCTTATGCATGTATCTTTACAGAAGCAGCAAAGAGAGCCGCTTCAGAAACGTGCGTGGCCCGGCTGGAATAAACCATAGACTGTATAAAAACATAAACACAAGCATTGCGTGGCCGTAATCAGCTTCAGTGACCGTATCAGAGCCACACTGCACCGCAGACGTGTGCAATGTAAATTGTCTAAGTATTAATAGTAGGGAAAGCCCCTTCTACTGGAGCGCGGCCACTTATGAAGTGTTTCTTGGAGGTTATAGTACATTGAAGAATGATCATATTACTTTTCACATATGCCATGTGACCTGTAAATGCGAAAAAGCCATTTCCATTGCAGTTTTGCGAATTAATCCTTTTTCGCATTGCCTGAAAAACCACCTCATGCAAGCGTAAAAACTTTTTTGCGATATATGGCCATTTTTGTGAAATTGACGCGTTTCCATTAGGCGTATTTTCAATTCGCAATTTCAATTTGCGCAATTTGAAGGGTAATGGAAACGCGCCTACTGACTTAAACTAATCGAATTATGGAATTATATAATTTCTTAGGGAGCATTTATATAAGATGTGTCCTTGCTTTCAAAAACAACTGGACAGAGCATGACGGAATGAAAGAGAATGCAGCATTTGTAGTATTAACTCATATTTTTTGACTTGATGCCATGTCCTAAAAAAGCAACATTTTAAAGTTTGTTTTTATCATGCAAATTAGGGATGCACCAATACCAATTTTTCCAGAACGAGTCCGATACCAGTACTTTTATTTTGGGTACTTGCCGATACCTGTACTTTCACTGCATTTGTTATTTTTAAAAATATTGGATACAGAAACCAAAAGAATTTGAATCGTGTTAGCTGGCTTCATTTAGCAAATAGATATTTCCTTCAGTTATTTTCACGCTTAATCATGCCCGTTAAAATGTATTGTACAAGCTTTTGTTACTTTCATTGTTCATTTTATTGCTATTTCATGTTGAATTTAATAGCACAGTGCACATTAGAGCTACTCCACTGCAGTTGCTCAGTAAATTTTGTAACAGCGATGAACATTTTTTCTGAAATGTCATGTTTTTTTATCATCCGAAATGTGCTGCAACATATATTCCAAAGTGATTTATATAATGCAATTAACATCAAGCAAGCAAAACATGCCCAACGCACGCACACATTTGTATTGGTGCAGAATGAGAGACAGACATTTCACACAGACTGCTAGTTTCACTTTCGCTTTAAATCGTATGCTTGACGTTTAAAATAAATGTTGTTTATAGTGAATGGTCCTATAATTTGTCTTTGTTTTATATTTACAATTTAGTTTTAATCCAAATGATGCATGTGCTAATGGAGTGAACCGCAATCAAGATCATGCAACAGAAGTCAAGTAACTTTAGTTACTTGTTTATTGTTTTACTTACTTTTCTTTTGGAATATCCGACCGAACTACAAACTTTCCAGTGATGTCTGTGAGAATGGGATATTTGCTAGAGTTCTTGTACTTGGGCACATAATTTGTAATGTTATACAAATGAAATAGTAATGTACCTGATGGCTTAATCATAACTGATTTACAGAAAATGTAACCCTGGAGCTTTCTTCGCTGAAAGGCACATAAATGGCTTATGACTCAGTCTTGATTATTAATTGACTAATTTGATTATTAATACATATTATATGGTAGACATGTTTGAGCTCATATTGAGGCATTTGTCCACACTTTGTAAAGTTCTTGAGATCACTTCTGAAATTTAGAGGAGACAAATGTGAGAGCTCTCAAGTCTTTAGTGTAGGAGAAAAATCTGAGCACAGTGTGTGATGTTGTTGAGATCTCTTTTAAAGCTTTAAGGGAGACCATTGTGAGAGTGTTAGAGTTTTTGTCTCAGGAGACAAGTTTGAGAAGCAGGAGACTCAAGCAAAGGTTTCCATTCAATCTTAAATGAATGTATGGCATATAACTCCAATGCCAACTCTTTTTTTTAAGTATGTAACATGTTTCTGACTAAATGGCTCATGATTGTTGAGGTATGATGTTTTGCACGTTTTGGCTGCAGGTGGAGTGAAGTCATGCTCGCTGAACTGCCTGGCAGAGGGCTATAACTTCTACACTGAGCGCGCTCCAGCTGTGGTGGACGGCACACCTTGCAGGGACGACTCTCTGGACGTTTGTGTTAATGGCGAGTGTAAGGTGAGACAGTCACACACTCTTTTCTTCAAGTATACGTATCTGAGAGGTTTCAGATACAATATGCTTTTCCAGTTGTTGGGTTTGTGACTTTGAACTTCTGCCAGAGCAAGAGACAGAACAGAAGAGGAAAAAGTCCCTCTAGACACATAGATTCACCAATCTCTCAACGCATTATTGTAGCAATGTGGAGCATCCTGGATTTAATTAGAGATCTGAGCTGTTAAAGGGTTAGTTCACCCAAAAATGAAAATTCTGTCATTAATTACTCTCGTGTTGTTCCAAACCCGTAAGACCTTCGTTCATCTTAGGAACACAATTGAAGATATTTTTGATGAAATCTGAGGGCTCTCTGACCCTCCCATAGACAGCAAGGTAACTACCACGTTCAAGGTCCAGACAAAGTAGTCCGTGTGACATCAGTGGTTCAACTGTAAAGTTACGAAGCTACGAGAATACTTTTTTGCGCAAAGAAAACAAAATAACAACTTTATTCCACATTTTCGTCTCTACTGCGTCACTTGTGGACACGCGTTCACATGACAGAATTAATGACAGAATTTTCATTTTTGGGTGAATTAACCCTTTAAGACCCAATTTTTCACTAACTATTTAAAGGGGTCATATGATGCGATTTCAAGTTTTCCTTTCTCTTTGGAGTGTTACAAGCTGATTGTGCATAGATAAGATCCCTGAAGTTGCAAAGACTAAAGTCTCAAAACCAAAGAGATATTCTTTATAAAAGTTAAGACTCTGCCATGCCCCCCTAAAACGGCTCGTTCTAACACGCCCCCACGCTTTAATGCTAAAGCTTTTTAGACATCAGAGTTCAGTATCGTTTGGTTGGTGTGAAAGTGATTTTCTATAGCTTCAGGGCTCAACAATAAACATAGGCTGCTGTCCTGTGGCCAATGTGAGAGAGGATTGGGCCGAACAGAGTTTTTTTTTGCAGAACAGTCACTTGCCTTTTTGGGCAATTATTGTTACTTCTGAAAATTTCATGTTCACTGCTCTGCTCTTTTTTTTGTATCTTGCAAACTTAAACATTGTGAAAATTTCTTTAAATGTTTTCTACATTGTTGCCAATTGTCAACAAAGTAATGTTGTCTAGCTGGGTAACAAACTTTTGCGAAAGTGACTTAAAATTATATTAAATGATTTTAAAAGCATCAATAAGAATGTGTTGAAAACTACAAACCAGACAGTAATGTTTTGTATGCCATTGTTTTACTATTGCATTATAGCTGTATAATTTCCAGATTGTTGTATATTTTTATATTATAAAGGGAAAAAAGATTAACAACAACAATAATAATTCATTATTATTATTATTATTATTATTACTATTTTAACAGATGCCACCACAAAAGAATGTTTAGTTTATTTATATTTTTCATTAAATATTATTTTTTCTTTACTAGTACTACTACTACTAGTTATTATTATTATTATACAAAAGAATGATCAAATTTATTTAGATTTTTCATTAAATGTTAAGTTTTTGTGTTTGCAATTAAAAATAATTTGCATAAATAAATGAATACATGAATTAAAAAAGACATCTTTTGTTGTGGCACCTAAAATAAATGACCTTTGGTAATACATCCACGGGAACTAAACGCAAGTGCTGTTCTGTATAATGTTTTGGTGGAAAATTGAAAGCGACAAAAACATGAATAAAACATTAAAGTTGGCATGTACTCATCCGAATCATTAGCTAGTTACTATGGTAAACAGCTGCCGCTAGTACTCATGGTGGTACTTGCTTTGTTGGGTTCTTCTAACCCAAAAGTACAATGTGAAGAGAGACCAGCTGGAACTGAACTCTGGTTTGGAGCAAACAATCAAACAAAGTGTGAAAGTGGCTTAAAATATGTTGTTCATTAGTATGTTTCATAATGCAAACTGTAGTGTACTTTATTTTCTGTTTTGCTTTGTTGTACTACACCGGGCATGCTGCATGTGCGCCTTTGGAGCGAGTTGGGCTGGTTTATCTTTGCACTGTTGTCTAGACCAGTGGCTGTTTTTATCAACAGTTCAGTTCAGTCCAGCCCCGTTCTGCTCTGCTCTGAATGCTGCAAGAACTCGATGACCCCCCAGATTATCTGTCCTCAGTACACGCAGCTGAACATGATCACAGCGACTTCTCCCTCCCTCCCTCCCCGCCATCAGCTCTCACCCTTTCTCCATTTCTTTCCTTCCCTGCTCTATTTCCTCTCTTCCTCCGTCTCCTTCCCTCACTCGTTACTCTGCTTTCTTATTTATGGTGCATATAAAAACCGAAGAACAGCAGGGGGAGAAATCAAAGTAGTGTTTGCAACCTTATGGTGGCTTAGCTTCCATACAGTAAGGGTTTGATTATGAAAGCAAGAGCTTTAAAGAACAAGGCATTAAAAACAGCCTGTATAACCATGCGTCCCAAAGCTCAGCTCTATTTGGTCCAGCAGAGGACATGCCCAACCCGCTCCAAGCAGCCATTGACTTACCATTGTTGTAGTGAGGAAATAGGTCACACATTTGCAGGTTATGGAATCTAGGCCAGGTCAACAAAAGTCTTTGGCGCTTTAGTGGGATTTTTGTGAAGTTGCACAGTCCTGGATTTGGAAAGACTCAAGCAGTTTCAGGTCTGCTGGTTGCTGAGTTCATTTTGTGTGTTACGTTTTCTATACAGACAGCGGAGACTCTTCAATTTCTTCTTTAATGGTCTGGATTGTGTGCAGATTTGGCCCCTTTGGAGAAACTTGCAATTGCTTTGCACAATGTCAGTGAAAATTAATTGTGATCTCTCGAATTCTGGGATTGCTCTTGAGATTATACGTCAAACCTTGATATTTCTATCAGGGCTGTCAAAAAAGTAACATGTTAATACATGTGATTAGTTAAATATGTTAACACCATTTGAGCCCTTGATTTACTTTCCTCTGTGGGATAGAAAAAAGAAACTTAGGGGAATCAGAATCAGAAAGATCTTTATTGCCAACTGCTTGCACACAAGTTTTTCTTTGTAATGAAGCTTCTAGTGCACGCATAAATACAAAAACACATCAAAATAAAATTAAATATGAAAATATTAAAAAGTATAAGTCAGAATAGACATATTTACTGATTATAAACATTTGAAAGTATTATGGATAATAATATGAATTAATAAAAGTGAATAGGAGCGAATTTTGAAGAATATACTGATCGTTTTTTTTTTTCATGCAATCACAGTGATTAGAAACTCAAGCTTCAAAAAGAATGTAAAAGCACAATAAAATAATTTCTAGTGTGAAAATCTGAACATATGCTTTGTCCTTGACATGTTCATGGGGTCTGGAGTCAGTGCAGAATACATAGCCTACTGTTGACTAAAATATTAGAAGAAAAAAATATATATATTTTTTGAATGAATGAATACACAGCTGTCTAATGGTTGTTCTACCATTTTCAGTTCAAGCATGACATATTTTTTCAGGAATTGATAAAAACAAGTTCCACCCTATATTTTTATTTTCCATTAATTATGATGTTTCACTCAGAAATATGTCACATTATTGTTGTGTACAGCAATTCATGTTGACTTTAAAGTATCACTTTTACCGCCCGTAGAAAGGGTTGTTCAAAAGGGATGGTTGTGTCCATTTTCTAGAGGTCATGGCAGCAGAAATTGTTTAAACTTTATTGTCACTTAACACTTCGTTGTCTGTAGTCTGGGAGTATTTCTAAGCATGAGGCCAATGCAAATTGTGATAAGCACTAATTTTGCAGTAGCGATCACGCCATTACTTGATTTACAGGGGTTAAAACGATGCAGACAGCATGTGCAAATAAACAACGCTATCTATTTCCCCTTAGTGTCCTTGAGAAGATGGATAGTATAATTTTTTTCTCTTAATAGTTAAGTGAACACTGCAAATGCACATGTGAGACTGCTATTTCTCTTGTTAACTGAAGTAACATAAGCCTGGTGCCTGAATTGAGTAGCCCCCCAAACCTCAGAAATGTGTGCGTGTGTGACATGCTTTGAGTTACTGGGAGCAGCCTTGGCAAGTTCCTCTGGTGTCTGGGGGAGTATTTTGAGGACTGGATCTAACCCAGAAGTCCAAGTCCAGGACATAAGAGAGACTGTTGCTCTTTCCTTCAGTGGCACACACCAACCTCTTTAAAGCCCCTGATAATTCTGCTTTCCTGTTCTCCAGTTAGTGCTTTCTCAGCCTGTGTCCAGAGAGTTGTCAGTAAACACGCTTCTCAATTAGCTGTTGAAGTCATGAACTGGAAAACATTAAAATCAAATTGCATTTTGAGACAAGACTGTAGTTAATTGGGTGAAAAGGTGGAAACGATTCTAGCAGTTTCTTCTACTATAAGTAATTCAGTGCATTTCACTGTAAAAAAATACAAATGTGTTGCAAGTTGTTTTAATATTTCAAACCCTCCACCCTCTTTAAAAAAATAATCAAATCGCTTTGCGGTATGTTTTGATGCTGAGCAGGCATGAGAAGTCATTGAGTCAAGTTGTCAAAAACGAAATGAAAATCAGCTCACCATAGAAGAAAAGGAAAGATGGAGATGGAGGCCAAAAGCAGTTTAATGGTAAAGTGCAAAACCAAATGAGTTTACAGTAACAGACAAGTAAAACGTTATTTTAATAGCACCTTTTAAAATGGTGTTTACAAAGTAGAGTTGGCAGAAATAAAATCTACAAACGAAGAGTGAAATACATAGAAGCACAGAAAAAATGGGAAAATAAAATACAGTTTCGAATAGCTGTTGTATTATATTTTAAAATGGCAAAGCTGAATTTTCAACGGTCATTACTCCAGTCTTCAGCATCACATGATCCTTCATAAGCCACTCTAAGATGCTGCTTTGGTGCTCAAGAAATGTTTCTTTTTATTATCACAGTTGAATTTTTTTTTTTTTGTAACAATGTAAAAGTTTTTGTATTTTTTCCCCACAAATATATCAATGTAATGCAGCATATCAGAATGTTTGCATTCTCCATCAGGCCATATCAATGTTGACATTTTTATTCTTAAAAAAAGGTAAGGAACCCAGAGTAATTTACAGTAAAAGGGCCCAAAATTCCTGTTAATGGCCCTCTTCAGACTTTAGATGTGTTCAGAGAAGCTATACAATCACTTTATAGAACCTCAAACAATGTGTGTAAGTGTTTGTGTGGTGAGCATCGTACTTCAGGTCAGATTTGTGTTGGACAGCTGCCTTACTGTTGAGGGGTGCACAGAGACTCCTGCCATTCTGAAAAGACGTTTCATAATTACCTGCTCACATGCAAGGCCCAAGTCATAAATGCTGATACAGGATCTCAGCCATGCAGAATTCCTTCCGATGGAACAGACACACTTCAGTTAGGATGAGGGTGGTTGAGAGTGAGAGACTGAAGTCATCTGAAAAACGCCACAGTTTCCACAAAAATATTAAGCAGCACAACTGTTTTCAACATTGAAAATAATGCTAAATGATAAGCACAAAATCAGCATATTGGAATGATTTCTGAAGGATCATGTGACACTGAAGACTGGAATAATGATGCTGAAAATTCAGCTTTACCATCAAAGGAATAATAAACAGGTAAATGACACTGAAGTGTAGATTGAGTGGAAGCGTTGTGATGCTGTTTTGTGAATTAGCAGCGGTTTGCATAAGAGCCGGTTCGGATGTGGGTGGTGTTGTTGAATGGCAGGCTGTTGGCTGTGTGCTGGACTGAGGGCTATTCTCAGCTGCAGGAAGCTCTAGTGGGCCACTCCCTGGGCGGGCGGCAAAAGAACATTGACCGCAGTGGCTAGCCGAGGCCGAGATGATGGGCTATTCTTGGCTCTGGCTGTATTTTTGAGCTCAGGGTTCTTGAGGGTACAAACACAATTTAAACACAAATAAACACAGTTTATTTAAAAATGTGGTCAATGAATGAGATGCTCCACAAAATGCCAACTGACTGACCAATCCACACAAATGACCACTAATGTTTCATGTCTGCCTGCTTCTCTCTCTTTGTGTATGTGAGTATATGTTGAGTATTCTAGTATATCTGGGTTCTTATTCAGAACCGGATCCATTTATTGAAAAATGCCAGCATTTTTGATTCTGTAAAGCTGTCGAATATGCATGCATACATATGATGGTGTGTCCTGCACAACTAGTTACATTTCTGAAAAAATTGACTCTTGAACTTGTTCTGTTTAGTGAATCAAAAACACTTCTGAATATGGTTTAAAATAGAATGATTAGTGTGTTTAACGAATGAATGAATGAAATGTTTACTTTTTTAAATGTATTTTTAATGTATTTTATTTAATATATTCCACATAATTATATCTTCTACATAAATAGTACAAGAATTGTTAATGGAATCCTTAAGGAACCAAAACTGTTATGAGTAATCAGAACCAGAATCAATAGATTTCTATCCTTAGTTGGTGGTTTAATTCTTTGTGGCACACTCATCGCCTCTTGACTGTTCACAACAAAATCTCTGTCAGTGGCAGTTGCTCTTTTCTTTTTTTTACTCTTTGGTCAGAAGCTGGAGTTGTTTGCAGGCCTATGGTGGAATCTGGCCTTAAACACATTGTGTGTTGGGCAGCAGAACTGAGGAACGTTGCCCAGGAATTCGGTTGGAATCTCAAACCTCTGCATATCCCATCACAGTCACTCTCAGTGAAGCACCACTAACAGCATTGTACTCTTGCTGTGAATAAATGTATGTGTGTCTGTGTGTGTTCTCTCTTAGGTTATGAGGAGGTGGTCAGAATCCCCAAAGGATCAGTATTCATACACATCCAAGAGCTCAATGTCTCTCACAATTACTTGGGTGAGACACAATTTTTCATGGTTTGACTCAAATATGAGCCTCTTATGGGAAGCAGAACTAATACACTCTTGTTACCTTTTCACATTTTTTAATTGTTAACCCATGGTCATTTATCCCAGGTTAGCTTGGTTATATTGGTTGTCTTGGTTATATCCCAGGTTATCCAGGTTATATTGTTCATATTTTACATGTTCATATGTCAGGTTTCAAGATTTTACAATATGCATTTGTAAACCCTTGTTTAATATGTGAATTTACGAGATCATTTGGTTATACACAATAAATACACTACCTGATTTAATAACTGCTCGCCCTTTTGTGGAAATATTGGCAGTTAATGTAATTCAAAGTGAAGTGTTGCATCCCTCCAAAACATTTTTGCATTTGCTTTCAGACGAATAGAAATATAGTTTTTCTGCCATCTCATATTATTTACATTACCGGTTTTGCGTTTGCTCACAAGTTCTCAGCGGAACGCAAAAGTTTTGAGAGCGAATGCTAAAGTTTTGAGAGTTAAAGCAAAAGTTTTGAGAGCGAATGCTGATGTTTTAAGAGTGAACACAAAACTGTTGATGGAAATAATTTAAGATGGGAGAAAAAAATACATTTCAGTGCTTTTGCAAGTGAAGCAGAGTTTCTCTGGAAAAACAATACTTTTCCTCCGATCTCATATTTTCCCCATTTTGCCATAGCTTTTAGGGGCTCCGTAACTTTATTGATTGGTTGCTTGTTGCCAATAAAAAAAAAAAACATTGTAACAACACATTCTATACTTTTAGCACCAAAGTAGTTCCAACTTCCTTTTACAAGTGTAAAACCTCGTTTAGCACAGTGTTCAGTGTCCATGTCAAAGAGTCTGTTGTGTTTTGAGGCCCATTAATCGTTAACCCTTTCCATACCATAGTGTTGAAGAGCAAAGGGGATCAGTACTTCATCAATGGCAAGCTGACCATTGACACGCCAAGACGCTTTGACATTGCGGGAACCACCTTCCACTACCGGCGACCCGCCAATGAACCAGAGACCCTGGAAGCACTTGGACCCACCAACATGACCCTGATCGTCATGGTAACTCAGAGATGCTGGGTGGTCTGTTCAAGCATGATATTTATGCACTGCTGGTGTTGGTACAGATGCCTCAGAATTTAGACAGCTGCAGTGTATTTGCAATGTGGGTCAATTGCAATTTTCTGTATAAATGTTATTCAAAGCTGAAGTGTGCAATTTTTTCAATATTTTTCATAAATTATTTTCTCCTATCCCAGTTTAATATGCTGAGAGAACAATGAGTAAGCTATTTGTAGGTTAATTGCCCCAAAAAGTGTAAAAAATGTGTTTCTTTGTTTTTTGTTTGTTTTTTGAGCATCTTGATCAACCGACACAGCAGCAGTGTTGTGAGTTTAGACTATCAGCTTGTCCTAGCAATAGAAGATGGGTAGTTTTTGCAAAATCTGTTGGAAAACATTTATTTGATTTCATTACAAACTATCCGAGTCAGAGTGTTTGATGGGCGGATCAGTCAGTTTAGTTCTCTGTTGTGTGGTGTGTTGCAGGTGTTGGTCCGTGAGGAAAATCCTGGGATCCATTACCGTTTTAACTCACCTGTCAACAGAGATCCCCTGAGCAGTTACGCCTGGCATTATACATCCTGGTCCCGCTGCTCTGTGCTGTGTGCAGGAGGTGACTGTTTTCTGTCTGTTATAGTTTCATTGTCTGTTTACTGACGGACATAATGAAATCATTCACACGTGGAAGTGGCATTGCAAGGTTTTCCTCAAAGAAACTGAATTTAAATTGTGTACACATTCACAGTGACTACTAAATGCATAAGAAAAGAAAGTCAAGTTGTCCAACACTGTTCACACGAACAATGTCAATTTCCCATGTCTGCCATTAGGATGTGTGTGAACCGTTTGAAATCCTGTGAAAAAAAACAATTACATCGACTGTATACACCAAGAACCCCAGCTTTGATGTCACTTCCTATCCTCAAGCTCCTTCCCTATTATTCTTGCATTCATGCTTTGTGAGTTAATGACCCGTATTTGTCTTGCTGATAAGAAACTATTAGCTATGACTCAGAACTAATTTGCTGTCGAAAACATAGACTCTGCTCCAGAATCTTGTGAGCTGCCTCATAGGGAGCATTCTAAGGCATCATGAAGGTTTTTAGTTAACAACCATAATGGAGAAGACAATGCCATAATGCATTAAAATAAATCCAAAAATAACAGGTAAAATAAATGTTAATTATGATGCTGAGAAGTTTTGTTTAAAAAAAGTGATGTACAGTATATTGGTACCATATATTATACAATATTTTGGTACCTATTGGTCCATATTGGATATAAATCAGCCAACAATGGAAATTTAATTATACATTCTCATTTCACCTATTTTTACATTTAGATTATCTTTGCCATCATGTAACACTCAAAAGTTCATTTTCAAAAACACTAATTTCATAACACTGTTAAATTAAATTTTTTAGCAGATCTCAAATTATTTATTATGCTGTACACTTAATATTTTTGTGATGCCTAATTTCACTTGTAGCATTTAAAACTATTTATTTAATTTTTAAGTGATTTGTTTTTGATAGAAGTCTGTAATGCTCGTCAAGACTGCATTTATTTGTTAAAAAATATAGTAAAGTATTGTGAAATATTATTAAAATTTAAAGTAAATGTTTTCTATTTTAATATATTTTAAAATGCCATTTATTGTTGTGATGGCAGCCATAACTCCAGTCTTCATTGTCACTTAAGTATAATAGAAGTTAGAATAAAAGTATTAATTTATTAAAAAAAAAAAGTGTACAAACCCCTAACTTTTCAGTGGTAGTGTATACAAAATAGTATATAATTTTAATATCAGCCTTTTATTTGTTTTTGCCTATAAAATGTGACAATTAAAAATGTGAAATAAAATTATTTGTATTGGGCCATAATTTTGATATTGGTCACCAATTAATTTACCTTATAAGGTTCCATTTCTGTTAGAATGCTGCTTTAGAAGGCAGCTGTCTGTTTAGGTGGTAAGCAGCAAGGCTGCTCACTAGATTTTGGAACAGAGCCATAGTGTTCAACAAAACTGGCACAACCATCATACCATAATAACTTCACAGGGATTGTGTATTTACACAAAGACAAGAATGAAACCGCACTGACATCAAAGCTTCATGTTTGTATGATTAGGGTTTATGGTAATCTACTGTGATTTATATAACGAAGACACTTTTTGTCACAGGGGTTCAAGTCCAGCAGGTAGTGTGCAAGAAACAAGCTGATCTCTCTGTGGTGTACAACCACTTCTGCGACAAGAAAAACAAGCCCAAAGACAAGAAAAGACCCTGCAACTTGGAGCCCTGCCCTCCAACGTGGGTGTTCTGTATGTGTTTGTGTGTGTGGCATTAACATCCATCCCGATCATATATGTTTCATGCTAAATATAGGTGCAAATGGGATGCATATGGAAACACATGGTGATTTGATAATGCAAACCACATTCAGAAATGGTCAGGGGCCACATCAGATTTGTATGCTAATGTGTCCTGATGCTTACCAGACATCATCGAAGGACCACTGAGTAACCAGTCAGTGCAATTGACTATACTATCTAAATCACTGTACCACATTCACATACGCTAATTAATATTCATAAGCATATTTATATAATTTTTTTTTGTTTTCTTATATCTTTTTCATTTTAATAGCAAATTATTTTTCATTATTGATATTTTTTTGTATTCTTGTATCATTGTTTTAAATTGTTTAAATAGTAAACTTTTTTCAAATTTGTTTCTTTCCAGGTTTCTTTTTTCCCCCCAAATTTCAAAAGTCTTAGACTTTTGTACTGTACATGCACAAGACTTCAATAACGTCTTTGGTGTTCCTGATCAACGTGATGCGACATTCCATCAATGCCTGATATATTCTGGTATCTGTGTATCTGTCAGGTGGTGGACAGGAGACTGGTCAGATTGCAGTCGGAGCTGTAACGGAGGAGTGCGGACGCGGGAAGTGCTGTGTAAAAGAAAGATCTCTGTAACAGAGGAGAAAGTCCTTGATGACACGGCCTGCACCCCACCACGGCCTTCCGTCACCGAGCCCTGCAACAACCACACCTGCCCACCAGAATGGCATGCCCTGGACTGGTCTGAGGTAGAGAAACATCTGGGTCCAGCTGCCTATATGTTAAGACTGTGTCTTTAGAACTGGTCTGACCAACTAGCAGTCAGCTAGGGCGTCTTATTTTTCGGGTTCAATTAGACTAGTAGTCTAGAAAAATCTTACTTCGATCTTTGGTGTAATTTGGTATTGTCTCTTTGTTATCATGTATCTTTTGCAGTGTACTCCTAGCTGTGGTCCGGGTTACAGGAACAGAGTGATTTTGTGCAGAAGTGGAGAGAACGGTGAAACGTTGCCAGAGTCAGAGTGCCCGAAACAAAGCCACCCGACCACCAGGGTGCGCTGCAACATACAACGTTGTCCACCACCTCAGTGGGTTACAGGACCCTGGGGAGAGGTGAGATCTCATTTAAAGCTGTGAGATTGTCACTTTGTGATTTCATCACAAGCACTTAAAACATCTGACATAAGTGTTTAATGTATAAGCAAAATTAGATTATGCCTTGAATCGCTGTGAATGGCAAGAATGTTCTCCTGAGACCCAGCAAAAAAAGCTATTTTTAAATTAATACACCCAATGTTCTCATTCTTTCCAAAAAATGTGCTGAATTGTGATGTCGGACATATAAAAAAGGACAGGAATCAAAATGTCCAAAAATGAATCGTTGAGTCCAAATATGTGAGGTTCCATGAAAACTTTTTCTTGTTTTATACATGTTCCTGTCCTGTTTGATGTGTGTTTTTGTGTGTGTTCCAGTGTTCGGCTTGGTGCGGTATGGGTCAAGAGATTCGTTTAATGCAGTGTCTGACACACACTGGCCAGCCATCTAATGAGTGCCCAGAGACACATCGTCCCGCCTCCATGCAGCAGTGCAAGAGCAAGTGTGATAAAAATGGCCCTACAGATAACCCTGAAGGTTAGAGGTCAAAGGGCAAGCAGACACACTTTGCATCCCAATTAGCTGACCATTGGTCATATATAATATTATAATTAGTACATTCCAAATCATAGTATGTTGAATAGCATACTGAAGTATTTTTGGCAAATATTGCCCACAATGCATTGCTCTTTTAGCTTTAGCAACTATACTAACTTAATTTTATGACAGTATTATGTTGCAGTACTCACATACATAAAGTATAGAGTGCTGCAGTGATTGCGTCATCACTGCAGAACTCTATATTTTATGCATGTAAGTACTTTTTGTAGGCCAACCTGAAAGTTAGCATCACAGGGGTTCCCTTGACAAAAAACTGTTAGGATTTTTCAATTGCAAAGCAAATGTTGAAATTTGTTACATGCTTGAAGTCACTGGAAAATCTGAAAACATTGTGTGTTATTAGGATGCAAATTTAATTTCTCTGCGACTGACTGCACTTTTTCTGTGTCCCGCAGAGTGTAAAGATGTGAACACAGTGGCATACTGCCCCCTAGTGCTCAGGTTCAAATTTTGCAACCGTGCATACTTCAGACAGATGTGCTGCAAAACCTGCCAAGGACACTGACCTCCCTCTCACTCGCTCTCTCACGCTCAATGTCTCTCTCTCTTGCCCTCATTTTCTTCCCTCTCCACCCTGCCGTCTTCTTGCATGGCCAAAACCGCCCATGCTCAGCATTCCGCTGGAGGAGTGCTGTTAACCACTGGCAGACTGACATCATTGTGAGAGAAAGCACGGAAGAAATGAGAGCGAGAGAGAGACTTGAAAAGAGAGAGAAAGAGAGAAAGTCTGTGCTGCTCTCTTTCTCTCCCTCCAACCAGCTGCTTTGGCACTGCTGCTGTGAATACCAGTCTGCCCAAAAGACATCCGTCAGTGTTTCTTTTGCTCTTCCATGTGGTGCTTTCGGCCATGTTTGGCAGTGTTTGTGAACTGTCACAGATGTACTGCTAAATCTCAGTGAATAATAGTTGTCTGTTATTGTAATGTGACCATTTAAGTCATTTATTATAGTCTCAAAGGTTCACTCAGTAATTTTTTGTGTAGCGCTGGTCGTTTTGGACTTATACTGACACCTAGTGTTGTGGATGAATCATCATGCACAGTTGTTTTCAGTTACCAATGTAGAAAAGCACTACTGGTAGTCAGCCATTATTAATTTAATCCACAAACAAAATTGTCCAAAAACAACCAGGTTACTGAGTTGAAATGAGTAGTGTGGAGCTGGTCTTGTGATCTCAATATGGCTGCTCCCATGAGAGACCCACTCCATGTAAAATAAACCAACTCTTGTTAGGCTGGGATGTTAAAATATTTTTCAAAAATACTTTTTACTTTGCTTGTGTATAAAGTGTTACTTTGGATAAACATTACTGAGTGCATAATTCACCAAAAAATGAAAATTCTGTTATTATTTACCCACCCTCATGGTGTTACAAAGCTGTATGACTTTCTTTATTCTCCAACACATAAAAAAATAAATCTTTGTCCATACAATAAAATATCTATTTTTGTGTTCCACAGAAGAAAGAAAGTCATAATTGTTTAGAACAACATGAGGGTGAGTAAAGCATTTTTGGGTGAAATATCCCCCTAAGGGCCTTTTCACTTACAGCAATTTGCAAAGCAACCAACAGTTAACTATTTTTAAAAGAGTTGGTGATTTTAAACAACATGAGCGAAGGTGCTGTCACATTTACCACTGGTCCAAAGAATTTTCACAGTGAAATCTAGTAATTTCAATAGGAATTTCGCTTAGGGGGGGAATTTTCCCTACACAGATTTTGCCACGAATTTCACAAGTTGCAAAATCGCTGCGTTGAGCACCAGAAAGCTGTTTGTTTTGAAAGTGACTTCTATGTGAGCGGTGCATTGTACATTGCAACACTGTGCTATACAATGGACCTTTTGCAAAGAAACATTTGCCGAAAATTCACTAATGTGACTGTACCGTAATGCTTCATGATACAGATGAATGCTGCAGTTGAGATGAACACTGACTAGCAGTGACTTGTTGACATTGAACAATTAAATCATTGTCCGTGTGAACTGCCCTTTAGAGACACTCCAGATCACTCAGATATCATAAGCTCTCATTCGATGTGGTTGGTGCTGAGATACTGTATCTTTTAATCTGACAGCCTTGTGGCTATTTGCAGGTGCTGTGCCATTTTCTTGCCATCCGGTCCCATAATGCTTACACCAATTAATTATAAGTACTGTGCATCAGTCAAACCTGGATGAACAATGAACTGTTTAGCAAATAGAGGGAAATGAGAGGTAGGGTCTGTTTAGCTTCTGTGCACAACGTAATAGTAGTTAAAGAGGCCAATGGAAGCTGTTGTTAAAACCATGTGGTGGTCATATTGTTATTCTCAGACACTTTTACCTAAGATAATGTACTGTACTTCTAATGCACCACAAGTCAGCATGCAGCAACGTTGGTGGCAGTGCAGACTTGTGACCCATGTAACCATCTAGTTACTGGATTGCTTATGCTTCATTTTATCAGGTCAGGAACAAATATACTCACACCTTTGAGAACTTCAAGTAATAGTTTGGGGGAAAAAAGGAAAATTCTGCCCATAATCCACATGACCATATGTTGTTCAAAAGCTTCTTTTTTTTCTTTTTCTGTGGAACACAAAATTATATTCAGCAGAGTGTCCAAGCTGGGTAATGGGTTTATATGGGTAAAATACCAGAATGTAAGTCATTGTTTGTAGTAACAATGCAGAACCAATGGCATTTGAATATGCATTTTGAGAGTAAAGGGGAAGAATTAGGGTGGAAGTAATATTTTTTGCTAATATTATTTGGGTCTGTTTTTCACAAAAAAAAAAACATGTCGCTTCCATAACGGTTTGGAACAGCATAATGGTGAGGAGTCATTTTTAGGTGAACTCTTCAGTGTTTTCTTAACATATTGATTGGATTCCCTTTCAGAACCTACAATTTCCTTTTACCCATTTCTAACCCAAATATCAGAATTTAGCTCAAATTTGCCAAATTATTAGTGTCAGTCATCGTTAGAGAGCCATAACAGACCTTTTCCCTCTCCTGGCAGCACACGTCGAATGTTTGATTTGAAGAGCAGATCTTGAAGAGGTGGCCTCTGTTCAAGGACTGGTGGCTAATCTGTGGTGCTACAGTATGGTGCTATGTCTTTATTTGTCATAATCTCAAGATTCATGTTATTTTTGTATTGTAGGGATTTTTTGCTAAAGGTAATACATTTGCTAAGGAAAAAATATATAAGCAAGATTCTATGAAAACTAAAATTATTGTTCAAGTCTCTCTGCAGAGACACTAACTTTATAATCATTTCTTTGGTACAATTATTATGTGAAAGATGAAAATGCTGTTTTGCTTTTGATGGTAAGCTTTTATCTTTCAATTTTGCAGTGTTTCTACATTTGCAGTAACTAGATTCACTTTGGAAATGCAGTCACACTTGTTTATTTGGACTTAAATCTTGATTTTCACATGCTGTACTGTCATGTGCTTGTGATGTAGTTTATGTCCTATGAATTTTACGTAGACCAGTTGAAATGAATTTGAAATGCTGAATAAAAAGATGCATTGTGTACAAATAATATCCAATGTATTGTTATATCTGTTTTATATCCTTTATATCCATTTCTTAATTTTTATTTTTTTTACAAAGACAAGTTTTTACACCGTCATATGTCACATATAAACCTCAGACTTGTTGGCTCGTCATGTGTGTGTGTTTACACTGTACGTCCATCTGCACTGTACTTTTTTGCTAAATTGAATATAAAAATAAACTTCCTGCATACTGATGTTCAAGAGGATCAGATTTAGTGCTAATAGCAGCTCTTTGTATGAGCATATTACATTTAAATTCATTTATTTAGTTGACTTTTATTATATATACTTTCTGCTGCAGGGCTGCAGAACGAGGCCTATGTGGACACATCTGTAGAGGACGGCAAATGGAAAAAAATTAGAAATTGCACGTATTGGTAGACTAACAACAACTAAAATTGTATTCAGGGGCCCTATGTATATGTGCTGAGGGGCCTAGGGCCTTACTGATCAGCTGACATTGTATACTCCCAGAGGCCCTAATGGTTAACTTTGTTTGTCATTTTTAGGCCGTGACTTAAGCCTTGGGAGGCTCCCGAAACACTCAAACCAGGTCGGTTTTTGTATTCATATCTCCATGAAGAAGTTCAAACGTGAGTGAGGGTGTGTTCAGTTTTGGTGTTTTGCAGGATGACTGTATCATTTCTGCATCTCGTGCAGTTTGTTGTCGTCCAATCAACAGGAGGGGCTGCATCCTGTGTCACACGCCTCAGAGTAACGGCTGACCTGGAACCTGTGACACATTATTGGTTTTGTGTGATCATGAGGAAGGTGAGTTAGACCAGTTATGTGTCCTCTGCGTTTGTGGGCGTATGTGTGTGTGTACAGCCTGCGGCTAGAGAGCATGCAACTTCTTCTTGTCTCACCTAAGGGTTGTGGGAGTTTGAGGAAGTGATCTGTGCTCAGTGCTTGTCACAGACTGCTTCCCTTCACTAAACTTTTGCTCTTGTGCTGTAGTCTGCTGGTCATGGCAGGGTGCTGAGAAACATTTGGACTGTCACTCTCAACAAAAGAAGAACTGCAAACGAGGAGAAACCAACAGCACCGGCATTATGGTAAAGTGCTCAGTATTATTGCAACTAGATGTTTAATGAGTTCTTCAAACTTTTATGACTTATTCTGAGTCGCATCTAATCTGACTGTAAATTATGTACATATCTGTTGCTCCTAAAAAGCCCTTTGTTGATTAAACTCAAGTCATTTTTATTCCTGTTTATGCCTGTAAATAAGTGTATATAGGGTTATATTTTCCTCATTATACTCATTACACAACTGTATTTGCTAATTTTGGAAAGTTTCCTCCTCTGTAAAGTCAAAATGCTTAAAGGGGCTCATATAGGACGTGTGAAACTATATAAAAAAAAAAGCTTAAAGAACAGCATCACACAAAAGACACAGGACCCAAACAACTCCTTAAATGGAAACTGATTAGCCTCTGTCATTAGTCATGGTTTAATTCACCACAAGCATCTGTGACTTTTAATTCTGTCTTTTTGTTAGCTGAGTGCACTTGTTATCCATCAAGGCCTGATGCTGTCAAACTAGTGAAATGTTCACACGTTTCCTTGCTACTGAGGGCTTTCATGATGTCAGGGGCAAGGCAGCTAGGTAGCTGGGAAAAATTTGAGGCTGGGGTGGTGATTCTGTAGGAAGTGAGCATTTGACTTTGTGTGGCGAGAGGTTTACAGAGGATTTTCGCAACAGCACCCAGAGGTAGGGGGAGTGGGGAAGTATGTCAGAGGGGACTTGCGGTTCTTGTCGGTACTTCCTCACCGCTTGTACAGCTTTCTGAAGCTTGTGTCTTTCTCAGCCTGTGCTAAAGTGATCCAGCACAATTGGCCTACAACTTACATGGGTCAGATGATGGATGCAAAGTTGACAGGAACCACATTATTTTAGGGATAGTTTAGTTTTATCCATTAATTTCAGAAAAACACATCTACTATTTCAAAATCTTTCATTTCTGAATGACTCACAATGCTTTGCATTAACCATTTTTAGAATGTGAGGAATCAGTAGGCGTTTTCCACTGGTCAAGCATTTTTCACTATTACCATGGCTATTAACATCTAGTTCTAGTGGCAAAGAGGAACATTGGTGGTGTCATTCCAAAATAGGTTTTTAAAAGAATGTTTCAGCTGTTTTTGACTTTGAAATGAAAGTAAGTAGGCTCCAAAGCAACCTCAAATCCCACTGTCTTTCATTGTATGGACAAAAACAAACCACTGAGACATTTTTCAAAATATCCCCTTTTGTGTTTCAAAGAAAGACATACAGGCACTTTAAGTAAGGTTTGTCCTCGTCAAATCTATCCCTGTTTGTGAGATCCAACAGGGAGGAAGAGGTGTTTTAACCTCAAGGGTTGTTTGCAAGCAACAAAAGGCTTTGCCAAAGTTCTCTTAGCTGTGTTCGAAATCGCATACTCTCTGAATAGGTATTTCTTGTTTATTTACTTCATGACCCTTAAACAAGTATGTACTATATAGTATGAATATGCGAGTATGAATGTAATCCGAACATACTACATTTGTAATGTTCTCATTGTCATGTGATCTACCAGCATCAGTTGTTTTGCTTCATTGCCATTCTCAAATCCTCTCCCATGGCCTCATGGGATTGTTCAGAAGCACCAACCCAGCCCCAAAATGCCTTGCCCCTGACAACATGAAAGCCCTCAGTAGCAC